AGGAATTTAGAATGGCACTGTTGGAGGAGTATGAAAATACTTCACAGCACTACATTCAAAAACTCATACAATCGATGCCACGTCGAAAGCAAGCGGTGATCAGTGGAAGAGGAGAAAATATTCCGTATCGAATTGAATATTTTCTTCCTTGTTTCCAAAGCAACATTTTTGGTGAAATTGTTTTACTCAGTTTAAGTTTTTGTTTAATTTTTTATTTAGCTATATCTTATATTTTCCTTTAAAAATATCAAGTAAACAGAAAAAACAAAGTTATAACGATTCCAAGTCTGGAGAAAATGGTGGAAGGGGCAGATGGGAAATTCCCAGGTTTTCTAAACACTGATTAACAACTCTGCCTCTATGAGGTCTGGCAGCCAGAAATACCAATGAGATCCCTGGTCTGAGAGATCCTCGATAATTTCTTGGACATAACTGACTGCGGTGAGGTCGCCTTCAACAATATGGGGTCCGGTTTGTCCTCCAGTGTAAATCCCACCCCAGACCATTACACCGCCTCCTCCAAACTGCACTGAAGAGAATGCGAACTGGGGCACTGTACGCATCCGCTGTTCTCGGTAGACGCTTCGTCGTCTGCTATCACTAAACAAACAGAAACGCGACTCATCAGTAGACATAACAGCACTCCAATTGGTGTTCTCTTCTAGGCACCGCTGCACCATATTCTCCTGAGTTGCTGGTTGTTGCGGCAGGTCATCTTAAAGAGGCATACGATGTGAGGCCAACTTCCCACAAACGATTACTAATCGTTTGTGTTGAAAAAGGCTTTTCCAAAAACCTTGTACTTAATTTAAGACCTGGCGGACACTATGGATAGGGTTAATTAAAATTAATAGAATACAACTATTGGAAATTATAAAAATCCCTATTCATTTTTGAGGTTATCACGCCGTCTTTCGCTCTCATTCTTCTCATTGGCTCACTCTTATTTTTTTCAGCCTCTCTTTTTATCTTCTTCTCTTTCACTCACGTTATATCACTACTTGCATACTTATCGAGAATAAACTTTTACACCTCCAAGCTATCGAATAATCAGTGCAAAATTTAACCTAACTATTTTTATTTTTTTATTTTATGTAGTCGACTTTTTTTAATAAAATCGATTTAATCCTATAATTGCAAGATTTCGTTTATTTATATTCATAAAATTTTGCGGGGCGTCCTCGTTTTCAATTTGAATATTCATTCTTGTTCGTTAAATGCTATAAACAAGAGGCTTTGTAGGATGATGTATTTGTGTTGCACACTATTTATTACAGCTTTTCAACTTTTCCCCTGAAAGTTCAACGGGTCATCAATTGGATCACGACGATCCCTGAAAGCAAAATATTGTCACGCGTTTTTCAAAGTTTGATATAATGGCAAAGAGATGTTTCCTTTTAATGATTTCTATCGCAGGTTAACGTCCGTGCCTCGAGTATTCGTGTCGATTGAATTTCTAAATTCTTTCGAGGCTATGGATCGACACAAGTGATAGTTCAAAGCAAGGTGGGTATGGACAGGCAAAATGTGAGTGATCGATGGTTGGACGAGATCTTGTTGGATTTATGGTTAACATCCACTGACTCAAAGACATTAACCAAAAAGTATGTGGAATTACCTATTGATTGGAACAAGGAAATAATGAGCTTCGTGATAAATCCCAAACCCTACAATGACAATAACATAGATTATTTCATAGTGAGTGACTGGTCCCATTTTTAAAAACACGGTACATAAATGAAATGCTTCTATGGAAACCTGCCGAGAGAGCTTATGGTATCTAAAAATCACCCAGTTTTTCATAGAGAAGCTTTGTGGTTTCCACAATACAATAGTTACCCCGAAAAGAACAAAAAAGTCTCAACTGCAACGAATTTCATTTTCCAAAAATAATACACACATATAAGTATGTCACATCATTTTTAAAAATAAACAACAATGTATACTATGCAATTGTTGTTTTCATATCTGTTGCCCATATCAAAAAAAGTACAAAGATCTGCTGGAATTATGTAAAATTTTCCTAAACAAAAGCAAGGTAAGTCTACAAAAATCTACTTAATAAATAATGAAAAATGCTTCGATAAGTGTTTTATGAAATAATTTTTGTTCATTTAATATGCAATTTATATCAATTAAGCCTCCAGGAAAGAGGAGAAATGCTACCATTATATCGTTTTGCCCCCCCCCCCCTCAAGAAAATTCCTCGAAAAATGGACATAATACGTTTTTCCCCTGTCAGTCTTCATTTAGAATAGCAGGAACAGCAACAATGGTTGCTGGCTCCTTTCAGGATTCGTCAAATGAGAAAATTGCACTGTAGCTCATTACAAAATGTACGTAGTTTGTGTAAATAAAAAATAAAACTAATGATTATTAGGATCAGGGTGAGGTCATGAACAGGAACAACACATGTTTTATGCCAAGCTTTCCTTATATCATTTCAACATCATCATGGCTTGATTAAAAAGAAAAATTATATTTACACATTACAATTGATATATACTCTCAGGAAAAAAGCCCCTGCACACCTATTGGTTTGCCCTTGTCTGCCAATGTCTTATTATAAGTCATTGGCTAAAAAAACATTATTTTTGTAAACCTTAATACATTATTTAAAAGCTTTTGAGGACTAAAATAGATTATTTAATTTGAAGGGTTCATAATTTCGATTATGCAAATCGAGAAGCGAAAAAGCAAACTTTTTTTCGATTCTTTGCTTGCTTTCTACAATATTATCTTACCAGCAATCATGTTTTCCTTAGTTAGAATGATATTAGCCTTCAATGTGGAAATACCGCTGTCCACTCGGGAAGTAATTGTTTGAATGTTAGTTGAAGGAATATAATTTTGTGAAAAAGAAAATTTGCTCAATAAGCAACCCTCGACAATCCATTCCATCATCTCCCAGTATAAGAAGATCCGTAATGATGAAAACAGACCCAGTTCAGACCGGCCAGAAAATTTAAACATCATCCAAAAGCGTGCCGTCAACAAATTACCCCGAAATTGGAGGATTCTGTATCAGGATAATAAAACTAGTTCCACCCCAAACAGAACGAACCAATATTAAAAATCAAGGCAAACACAGACGCAATCCCAGAAAGAAGCTTTATATAAACAACTCAAAAATGAATAGGGATTTTTGTAATTTATTCCTATTCTATTAATTTTATTTGAATTAACCGATATTTTCTTGTTAGTTGGATGAAACAAAATAGAAAATACAAACGAAAAACGAACAAATGTTAATTCTCATTTTTAATAACGGATTACCTAAGAATACTAAACATGAAGAGTACGCATTTGGTCAATAAACATGTTTTCTCGTTTTTTTTCCATTTTCAGTTGTATTCTCTTTAACCAGATTTAAACCATAAGTTCGCAGTATTACTGTGAGAATGAGTCATTGAGGTCACTCGCAAGTGGACATCCCAGATGAAGTTGGCTTTTCTCAGAGAGTGGTCGCCCGGGCTTAGCCAATAGTGCCAATAGGAGGCCTGGTAGTGTACCTCAGCGCATTATGACAGGGAGGACAGGCAAGACGGAACCCTTTCCATAGTGCCCGCCAGATCCTAAATGAAGTACAGTTTTGGCAAGACCTTTATCAAATCAAATGATTCGTAAACAGAATGAGTGCATGCATGATTGTGTTTATTTGTGCGATTGATTTATCCAATTTAAATTTTATTAGGCTAGAGTATAGTTTGCATGCGTTTTGGGCTGAAATGACGTACCCCGTTAGTAAGGAAGCGAAGATCTCCTCGGCATTAGACTTAAGGGGGATACTAGCAACCCAGCCATATAACCGGGTAGGTGAACTCCCTGATGTATAGACACTAAGGTCAGCCCATCAGGGAGTAACAACCTTCGGGGTGAAATTCCGAATAATAACTTAGCGTATAATCACTTATTCAACAAGTGACTATTATTGGTAGGGATAGGGATAAAAGAGTCGGCCAAAAGGTCTACCGCACCTCGATCTGAATAGATCTATTGTGCTCCCCCGTTATTTATAACTCACTGGCCAGCTTCAGGTTTTTAATTAACCAACCGCTTTGTCAGCGGCTCCTTAGTGTAAGATCTTGCTTGCGGCTTTTCTTAACCTAATTGCAAGAATCTGCACCTATATAGACCTTCACAGAAACCTAGAATGTGTTCTGCGGTCTCCTCCTCCCCTCCTTCCTGGCAGGATCTGCACATTGTTTCTTCTGTCTGTACTCCTATCCGGTGCATGTGCCTTCTTAAGTGGCAGTGCCCTGTCAGGAGTCTAACCAGAATCCTGGTTCGGTTGCGGTTGCCTTCTAGTAATTTTTTTGTAAGTTTTGGGATGGGCCTTCTATGAATCTTCGCGTGCCTCACACCTGTGGTATTATTCTACCAGGTTTTGGACTCATTAAGGATCCATTTTAAATTGTATCCTCTTTTGTGGCTGGCTGCTAAGCCACAGTAAGAAAATCCATGTTAGCCCCCTTTTTGGCCTCCATGCTCCGAATTTCTAGGGACGCATGCCAGAGTCAGGTCATTAGTGTCACTGACTTCCGTCAGGACCTCCATGCAGTTCCAAACACTCTTTGCCTTCGCCTCGCATGACGCTAGGTCCCTAAGTGCTGCCTGGCTGTCAGAGACCCTTATGGGTACTACATTATTATTTGGAGATCGTGATATGCGTTCTTGGGTGATGTAGGTGTAGAAAAACATTTTCTTTATTGTGCCAACGCTTCGATCTTTAGTTAGATCATCTTCAGGCCCTGGGATTTACAAAAATTGTTTGGATTATACAATGTAAGATGTGAAAATGAATTTATACAATGATGTCCACAAAATAGAAATGTTAAGTTTATTCGACTATTTGTATTCAAAGTATGTTTCCACTCCAACCCCATGCATTCAAGTAAGGTGGAGAAAAAATGTGTAAAGGTGATATATTTGATCCCGCAGTTTGTAGTTAAGCTTTCAACCGATTAGCGATTAGCGCTTCGTCCGAGGAGGAGGTTTCATTGATCGCTTCCCTTGAGGAAAAGAAGTGTCAAAAAATTACTCTCCTCTCATTTTTCCAGAGGCTGGAAGTTGAGAACATTTTTGACTTCTTCCGTAAACAGGCCAAAAATAAGTGTCCCAACCTCGAACGGTAAGCAAGAATAAGATTTCCCAACGATATTCGTACAATTGTTATATTTACATGTATACTGTCTTTTTGTATGGTTCAAATTGCACTTTGTTATTCCAGAGCTTTCAACTTTTCCAGGGCGAATTTTATTTTATTTTCGTGAAAATTATAACGAACGACGTCTGATTTGTAGAAGAAAAGAGGATTCTAACAATCAATTGTTAATGCTAATCTCGAAATATAATAAAAACTTATGAATACTGTACCTTCTCATTAATCACTATTAGTTAATAACAATAATCAGTTGGTTATAAATATTTCATTAAAAATCTAATTATTAATTAAACATTTACATATGTGACAGTGTGTTAATCGTTTTTTCACCATGACTATTAAAGCCTAAGAATTTCATTTTTTTTTTTTAATCCACTTGTATAATAATTATTTTCTTTAATTAGAAAGCGTATTGGGTTTAAAGTTATAATATTGGACAGTAAATTGATTAATTGATTGATTTATACAACCAATAAGCTCAACTCTGCACACATATGTTCACAGTAGAACTTATGACTCACTATAAAGCACTTGGGGTTTTGGCTGTCTGGGTACAGACCTTGTTCTCTGTAAATGCTAGTAAAATTATGTTTTTAAACTATTAAAATGATGTGCTGTTTTTATTTTTGCAAATTAACAACTAACTTTATTTACTATTGTATTGATTTACAATTTTAAAAGGCGATTTTGTGGGAAAAAGAAGGAAGGTTATATTAGACATAAATGCGACAAATATCTAAAACACACCTTTGGTTTATCTGCATGCCAGTCTGCCAGACCAAAATGATTTGTAATGACTAAACTACAGATTAATCACCCAGCAGACCCCAAGAGGAAATCTCACAATTCATTTGGGCATTATATTTTTTCTAGAAAGCTTTTTTGGCTGGCTTGCTTAAAGTTGCAATACAGAACTGTAAATGTTAATACACTTAGGTTTTTGAGGAGTGTTATAATACACATAAGAAATAAATGAAACAAATATTTAAAACATACAGGCCTTTAATTGTTTGTTTAATAAATAATGATGTCACCAATAATTTATTAATAAATTGGGAGCTTTCAGTTATAATATTGAATAAAGTTGCAATATTGAACTGTAAATATTTTTATGGGGTGTTATATTGTACATAAATGTGACAAATATGTACAACAAAAAGATGTTTGTTTGGCTTTTTTAACGTAATGTTTAACAATAAATTGTGAGATTTCCTCTTTGGCCTGTTGGGTGATGATGTGTAGTTTGGTCGTTTCTGATCATTTTTGTCTTAGCTATCTTCGAGGGTTTGGTCTGGCTGACCGAAATGATCAAAAAGGTGTAGTTACATATTCATCACCCAGCAGACCCCAATAGAAAATCTCAAAATAACACTTGTACATTATATATTTTCTTTAATTAGAAAGCTTATTTTGTTTGAAAGTTGGAATATTGAACTGTAAATGTTACTAAAATTAGGTTTTTGAGGGGTTATAATGCACATAAATGTGAAAAATATCTTTTAAACAAAATTTTTAACAGAACTTTCTTTGGTTTTTTTAGCTTAATGATATTGCCAATAATTTAATAATGAATTGTGAGAGTTCCTCTTGCAGTCTGCCAGGTGATGAAGGTGTAGTTTGTTCATTAGTGATCATTTTTTTGTTGGGCTATCTTCACAGTTTTGCTGTAGCAGCCAAAATGATCAAAAATTACAGATTCATCACCCAGCAGATCCCAAGAGGAAAAGTCACAATTCCACTTGTACAATATATATCTACTTTAATTAGAAAGCTTATATGGCTTAATGTTACAATATTAAACTGTACATCTTAACAAAATTAGGTTTTTGTTGGGTGTTATAATACACATAAATGCAACAAATATCTTTTTTTTTAATATAACTTTTTTCTCTTTCTTTAATTTTGGTGGACAATACCCAGAAATTTTTCAAATCAGTTTTATAAAAATTGAGTAAACCACAAATTTTATTTGTAAAAACGCCTCATTTTTCTCATTTTTCATCTGGTATTTCTTATATGATAATTAATTTAGATGTCCATATATCTATTTGTATTGATATAGATTTAAATATGGACTCTTAAATTTATTGTTTTTCTATTATTTGAGGTTTTCTTGTTAACCCCTTTCCATTTGAGATTTAGTAGAACATTTTATGAGATAATGAGACGCTCAAGGATGTTGTAGAACTTACCTTCAATGTGTTAACTGAAAATGGCTTCTTTGTTTAAATTTTATTTTTGAGTAAAGAATAATAATCAGCAGTTTTTTAATTTTTCATATCTTGGAAACAACTAATGTATCCCAGACATTATTCATACAATAAGAATTTGCTTCCTTTGTACAAAAAAAAAGCATTCCCTCTCACCTTTACGCATTATTTAAACTTAACTTGATTGATTGTACAAGGCCTATAAGATTTTAACTAGATTTTCAAATCCCGTTTCTTTAGAAAAGTTTAATTTGTTTTTATTTGCCTTAGAATTTGATAACATAAACCATACTGTTTTAGCCCAAATTATCATTGTTGGTAACAATAAAATTACTTTTTATTAAAAACAAACCCTATTACAGTTTAATTCTGTTTTTTTGTTTGTGTGTCGCTCCACTGTGTACACAAACGAAAAACAGAATTATTCCTCGACGCCATACCATCATAAATCAGAAAAAAAAACTATTACAGTTTTAGCTCTTTCCTTTAATTGGAGAATAGTTTTACATTTATCTCTGTATTGTTACTTTTTTTTACGAGGATTAATATTTTTTAACTCAGCTTTAGTATATATTATTTTATTTATTTTCATATTGGTAATTTTTTTGGATAATAACTACTTGGATTTTTCAAATCCTGCTTCTTTACAGAGGTCAATATTTCTTGGGTCTTGTAGAAAACAGAACTTGTTTGGCTTTTCTTAAATCCAGGGTGTTTTTTTAAATATCCAAGCTTTTCTTTCTCTCAGTCAGTAATGCCATAACAATCAGTTCATAAAAAAGTGAAGGGTTTTCTCAACTAGGTCTTAATGGACCATTAGGATTTACATGATTTTTGAACTCAAGCTTCTTATCGGTTGACCATATCATTTTTTTACATTGAAAATGGCAATTAACTTCTTTGGCTCTTTTAAAGAATCTATATAAACTTATATCTGAGGGTTTTTGTATTTGCATTTGAGGGTTTTGAAAGTTTTGTTTACAAAAAGCTTTCCTGTTTGAATTATTACTTATGTATTTATTTATTTTAATGTAATTTGATTTATAATTTTTAAGCAAAGAGTAGTAGAGATGAAAAATTAGTGTCACGAGTGGAGCTCGAACCCACAAACTTCGACTTGATACGCCGGTGCTCTAATGCCTCTTTTTTGGCAAATATTCAAATTTCGTTATCAGATTGAATTGGCTGTAAGAAGCTGTTAACAAAGTTTAGGTACTACAGTAATTATTATATTAATCTATATGTTTTTAGTTGGTCCTAATTAACCAAAGTAATTATTTAAATTTATTTATAATTTTTATGTAAAGTGTGGCATCTCAACCACACTTTACTTAAAAATTATAAGTTGATTTAAATATCACTGTGGTTTACTAGGACAAACTAAAAACATATAGATTAATATTTTAATTTAATGTTTTAGAAGTAGCAAATATTTTATGATAATGGAAAGCTGACATGGAAGTGGCAAAGTTATACATTTCCTGAAAATGTTAGTTTTTCTAGTTAAAACATAGTGCTTGAAAGATGTTATGTATTGCATTAATCCACAAGGAAAAAGCGCTTGAACTTGCACGTAATGTTTGATAGAATTGATATCTTCTTTCTCATCTTTGCCTATCTTTTTTATTTGTACTTAGTTGACAAGCCAATCCCCACTAGGATATCCATTAGCATTTTAAATTATGCTTTTTTTAAGGAGGATAATTTTTATTTAACTTGGAATAAGGCTTGGATCTTTTTGTTTCAATTAAACTTCAGCCTTTTCTCTAGTTGTCTTTCTATTCTATTTTTAACACATTTATCCAATAATCCAGTGGCTATAGCCAACAGAAGTTTCTTCATGTTTTTTTACTCTCCCTTTGAATTCATCCTTCAGAAAGATTTTGTTTTAAAAATGTGCGTGTGCGTGCGTGCGTGTGTGCATGTGCGTGCGTGCGTGCGTGTGTGTGTACAAATATATATTAACCATTTTAGTTTTTACATTTTTATAGAAACTGGATGAAACTGAATTTCTGTGATTGTGCCAAGGAAGTGATAAAACTCATTAAGATGTGTTAACTAAAACACTTTTTTATATCAAATATACAATGATGTTTATAAATGGGTCTCTTTGAAATTGCATATTTTAATTCAAACATTAAAAAAATGATGAATTTTGACCTTTAAACTTTTATTGTCTTGGATTGAACTTTGTTTCAAATTGATTTATAATTTTTATTTACAGTGCTGTTCCAAATTTTTGTTTATCGCTACTAATTAACTTTTAATACGTCCGCTTGCAATTTTACTAACATCTAACCCAGACAAATGTTACTAAATCTTTTTATTTATTTGTATCAAATAATGTCTAGTTCTACTATAGTATTAACTGTCATAACTGGCCATTCATAATCTTACAAAAACATATTATAGATCCATTATAATTTTAAATCAATGGAAATTATATATTTCCATAGGTCAATGTTCCACTTAATTCAAAAATTTTATTTATTTATTTCAGTTGTTTACACACTGGCTGTAACAAACAGCAAGAATTGGTATATTGTTCTTCTTTGCTCAGAACTTGATACGCAATAAGCCATTTAGAAGAAATATCGGGTTGTCCGGAAAATAATGCAGGATTTTAAGTTTTCATTAAAAAAAATCTATATAAAATATTCTGTTTACGTTTACAGGATTACTCATTTGTATGAANGTATGGGAAATTATTTTGATTAAAGAACATTGCTTTAAAGTAACTAGTTTCTTTTTTTTTGTTTAATACCAAAATCCTGCATTATTTTCCGGACAACCCAATAGTAAAGAGATCCACCAGAATGACACCAAATACTGAAGGATGTATTTTCTTTTATTATTTCTAGTAAATCCAGGCAGAATGTTTGGGGTTGAATTAATTTTTTCTTGTCCAAGTCAATTCAAAGTTTATTAATTTTATGTTGATGTCTTTTGTTCATACATAAAGTTTCCTGATAATGGAAAAATATGGCTCCTGTAATTTCTGTTTTAATTTTAAATTTAATATACTAGTGTACTATACAATATTATTTTGTACTTGTATATTTTGGACTGAAATCTGAAATTTGAACATTTTACCATTATCCAGAACAGTGCTGGGTCGTACAGTTTTTTTAATTCATCAGTTTTGTAGTACTATAGAAGTTGTAAAATTTGGTAGTGTAAAAAGTAGAGATGGATGGAGTAAAGATATGAGGAAAACCAATTCAGATCAATATTTATGCATATCTTTTATATTACTACAATTCTCGGTTAATTTTCTACCAATAGATTTACAGGAAAATTTAAACTTTTTTTCTCAGTTGAGATATTTCCTCATGGCCTGTGGGATGATGAATTGCTTTGGCTTCTTGTCATCTTCCATGCTGAGTCTGAGTTTTTTAAACACATAAACAAAAAATCACATAAAATGACAAAAATACAGAAACACTTCTGACAGGCTGAACCAGCAAGGATAGGCAGACTGTATATGACCTAACTAAAGGTTAACAACCTCGCAGACACAAAGAGGAAATCTCACAATATGGATGGTTAGGGCTAAAATAATTTTTATTTTACTCAAAGAAACTAGAAATTACAGGGGGAAAAACAGAATGAAATGAAGATAAACCCAGCAATTATATGCAGGTCAAAATGATCAGAAACAACTAAATTTCAGGTTTCTCCATTGGCAACAAGGAGGAAAATTCAAAATAAAATCTCTTACCCTCTTTACAAAGGACTCAAGTGTTTTATTTACTTACAAATTCTTTAATAGAAATTAAAAAAGATGAGGCATTTATCTTCTTTCTTTCTCTAATCCTCTTATTTTATTCTTGAAAGACTCTACTCTATGAAGTTTTTTAATTTTACTTTTAGATTGAAAGTGACATATAAGCAAGAAGATGAGAGGCCGTGGCCGTGGACGGGCTAGAGGAACTCGTGGAAGAAGAGGAGGAATGACAAGAGGAAGGGCGAAAAAGAACGTTAAAGTATATTGTTTTTAATTTTATTTTATTCTCTTATTTATTTTCATTCCATCACTCATTTATAATATATTTACGTTGTAAATATTTTAAATAAAAAAGATAATAAACATTCATTGTTATATTTAAAATTTCTATCAACTGTAGATAGCTACTGAAAATATAATTATCTTATTCTAAATATGAACTTATTTACTATTTATTGATTTGATTAGGTAATAGAAAGTGATGAAGATGAGGTTCAAGCAGAGCTGATGGTTGAAACCCATGATGAAAATTTTCCTCCTAAGAGTGAGTTTATGCAGTTCTATTAATTAATTAAATAATTTTCACTTAAATTGACTATTCGGATAAAAACACACATTCAATATTCCTTTTGGAATTTTTAAAATTAAGGCATAAGTAGTTTTTTAAAGAGTTTATTGGGATGATTTGCCTCTTAACTGCAGTGCTTTTAAGGGTTACTTTCAATATTTAGTACCTGGACATCCTACAAGCAGTGAACAGCTGATTATTAATATTTGAAGTATTAAAGTAACATAAAACTAAACTGTGTGAACTGAAAATATATACAATTTAACACTACATTTAATTGAAACATAATTTCTTGAATAAAATAATATAGTGTTGGTTCCTTGTATAGATTCAATCGTTTGTTACTACTACTTTTCAAAATGTTAATTTTTAAGAATTTCTCATGTAAGTAATGCTTTCATTAATATATTTTGGTTATGATAATTTTAATAAGTAGAGGATTTTTATGGCCTAGAGATTGTTTGCTTTTGAAGATTTGTTTCACCCCATTTTTTTGTTTTTTGATTAATTTAAAATTAGATATTTTATGTGGTCTGCTAAAACAAATTTTCTTTTTTTTTATATAGTGTTTTTTAGTTAAACTTTTAAAATGTACTTATGCATGAATGTTAATACGTTTAAAACTGTTTATTTCTTTCAGTTGATATGGAAGCTGATATCTCTCAGTTGGAAGCACCAACATTCACTACGCTCAACCGGGGCCCTCCTGAACCTATGCTGCGCCTGAGATGGGATCACCGGGTGTCTCTGATTGGCGAAAAAGTTCTAAACCCAATGATTCATTGCTGTGATAAGTGTTCGAAACCGATCCTCAGTTATGGAAGAATGGTAGTTAATAAACAAATACACACGTATTAGTAATAATCATGAATTTTAATCTAGATTCCATGCAAACATGTATTCTGTCTCTCTTGTGGAAGAGAAGAGGAAAAAGTATGCCCAAGGTGTTTAGAACCTGTTACTCGGGTGGAGCAAACGGGTTTAGGCACAGTTTTTATGTGTACGCATGGAGGGACTCGTTATGGTAATAGCGGATGTAGAAGGACGTATTTATCACAAAGAGATCTTCAGGCACACATAAATCATCGGCATGCAGTCGGTGAAGACCCAGGGACGTCTAAAGTTTCCCCGTTGGTTCCTACCCAACTACCGTCTAGGAAAATCCCTCAAGCTACTTCTCAGAATGACCCTAGGGTATGTTTCATTATAATAAATTATCATATTTTGAATTATTATTGATTATATTTTCAGAGCGAGCAAAGTCCAATGCAGTATAGGAATCAACCCAGATCGAATCTCATAACAGTGCCGATTCAGCAGGAACAGCCACTTCAAACGATAAATCACTACCACCCTGTGAGTTTATTGTTAATTCTAAATATAAGTCATAATTTACTTATATCAAGACATATTTTTCAGACAACAGTGCCAAATCCTGCTGCAGCATCCGCTGCACCTCCACCTCCGCCACCTCCAAACGGAAATGCTGCTGGAGCTTATGGTGCTGGTGGCTACGTACCTTCTACTTATACCGCCACAGCCCCTGGCTATTATCCCACAGCTCCACCACAATATCCACCTCAAACTGGATACACTGACCAGACCCAGTATTGGACTACACACCCACCTCCCACACATCCACCCACCATCCATGGGTTTTATAGATGAAGGACTAAATTTATTGAAAAATCTTTAACAACTAGACGGATTATTTTGTTTTTAAACTATGTTTAAGCATACTTTTTCTCAATCGATTTTACACACATTGTGCAATCTTGAAAATTGATTACATCATTTTACGTTTATTTAAATATACAACATGATGCTATATTTTCTTATTTGTTTATTTTTGTGAAATTCCTTATTTAAAAAAAAAAAATCCGACTTTAAACTGTTGATTTATACCTAAGTCTCATCTCAATCAAAAGGGATTTTCTTTTTTATTATTATTTCCATTATATTTCATGGTCCAATTGACCAAATAACATCTTTTAATTAATTAATCTTTTCATGTAAGGTCTTGGTTGAAATAAAAAAGTTAGTGTCACGACGGGATTTGAACCCACAACCTTCGGCTCAATTAGAGGTTAGAGCAGCGGCGTATTTAGCCAAAAAACATAAATATATATAATTTTTTTTTTTTTTTTAATTGCTCTATAGGTTGTACATTTTACATCGGGTAATAAATGTTAACAAAAATTTCAATTTTCTTTTTTTTTTTACATATTTTAGGAACCAGGCCTTCAACACACAAGTGGAAATTCAATTCAGATCACATCTGACATATGAACTTTGTGATATTTATATTTGTTCAACTATTATAACTATGTTCAGCTGTTTTTCCCTCTCTTCATTCATTAAACAAGTGTGATAAGTAAGCTACGATCCTTTCTCCTAGATGTTTTTATATCAAGCATTAAAAAGCATCGATCATTAGAGAAATATTGTCAAACATAGTGCGTTTTTTATTCGCTGTACTATATATTTTTTTTTTAAATAATGGCGCACGAATTTCGGTACAATTTCAAACGGGCACTCATGGGAAAACATCTAATCTTAATTTAAGACCAAGATTAAATGTAAAATTTTGAATTGTAGCAGCTTGTTGACACGTTCATTGTACATAAGGGTGTTATGAATCATTAGAAGAAACATGGAATATTCATGATTATAGCACAAACTGGGAGAAATCAAAAGAATTTGCTAAATATATACTGCAAATAAAAACTGAGAAATAGTGAAAATTACACATTTTTATTGTTAATTTCTTCCACTCATTGAAGCACATTTTTTACTAACAGAACAATTAACAACAAATTAAATATAAAAATTATTTGACAATCAGTATTATTGATTCATAGAGTATTTTTCAAATAAAAGTTTTCATGTATATATTTTTATTTAATGCCCATACCTTTCTGAATAGTAGTTTCTACATTTGCACTGATCAAATGCCGAAGTGAAAATCAGACCTATGCAAACCAAAAATCACTCGACGTGATAATTTTATTGCTGAAAGAAAAACAAATTATACGCAAGTCAACATCATAAAAACATAATGCAAATAAAGTTGATAAATATTTATTCTTTTGTTTTGTTGTTTTTGATTTACAATTTATATACATCCTAAACCTTTATTTTACGTGGTCTTTCTGCCATACTGGCACACACCTTGTGACGAATAAGAACAACAGATGTGAGAGTAAGAATTTATTTTTTTTATTTTTTGTTGTCCTTTATGCTATTATAGATCATTTGTTTCATTTTTACCAGGCCCTACCTGTCTTCTAAAAAATCCCTTTGTAAAAATAATACAAATTCAAAGAAAAGTTTTAGTATTTAGATTGTGAATATTATTTTCTTGACACTGGTCGATTAAACTTTGAGTCCATTTTTTTTAATTTAATTTATTTATTTAAAGTAAATTTGTTTTATACTGTAGGGCCTAAAATCCAACTTAATGTATTTAGTTTTATTCATATATTGCATTCGAAAAATAAGACGTTTAAAAAGAAAATGTTTATCAACAACAACAAAATTAATGAATAAAGAACAGAAAATTCACAACCAAATAAAAATGTACAAAAAACTTTTTTGTCCCCTTTAATACCGAGTATTTTAACTCTTGGCACAAATCACATCCGTTAAATACCTTTGCATTGTTTGGAAAAGATCTCTGATAAAATCCTGAGGAATTCTTTCCCATTCATCAAGAACTGCCGATTTCAACTCTCCCAGGTTGTTAGGACTTGGGTTAGAGATCTTCTTCATACTACAACCAATTCGGTGCGGGTGTCCAAGGAAATGCCATCCCAGAACATCAATGACCCACCATGGAATGCCACCTGAAGAACCATATGTAAACGTCTTCATATGAAATTACGCCCTTCTGAAGATTTTAGACCAACTCTCACCTCATCTGTAAAGAGGACTGGTCCCCAATATTTCAATGTCCCATTCACATCTTCCCATGCGAATTGAAGCCTGGCCATTTTCTGAGCTGTGGTAGGAAGAGGTCCACGAGCCGGGTACGGGGCCCTGAAGTTATTTTCATTGAGCCTTCTTACGATTCTGGAGGAAATCGAAACAGTTTGGACTTATAATCTGGTTTCTTATCCCATTTCCCGTAATGCTTTGGTTTTGTAGAGCATGATGACGGATGAATCTATCTTCTCTCTCATCCATAGACCATAGGTCGACCAAGTCCCGGTTTTCTAGTGTGAAGCCCTGTTTCTCTGAAGTGACGAAGAACCCTTCCTATTGTAGAATGATTTACTCTGTCTCCTGGTGACTTTGCACTGGTTATATCTTTCCTCTAAAAACGTTATGTCCCTGACACTTTCCTACTCACTCAAATTTTGACTGGAGCCATTGAAAAAGGTTTAAGAATAGCAATAATGATATATAATCAGATGATATATACAAAGAAAAAAGACTAATTGAAAGCGAACTTTAGTTGTAGCATAATGGAAGGACATAAACTTGTTTGCAAATGGGATTAAATTAAATTTGTAGATCAGTGTATTTTTTGTTAAATTATTTTTAAATAACTTTCTAATTGTCATATCAGAACCACTAGCATAGCCAAAACTTTTATTATGTAACATATTTTCATTATATAATATATATGACATTATATACATAATAAAATGGTATAGTTTCAATTTAGATTTTATAAAAAGTTTGTAATTTCTGTCATACAGGAGGGCTTAACGTCCAACTACCTGTAGGTGTTGCGAAAAAGAGGTCAAACCACTTTACAACCCTTCAATTAACAATTAAAATTCTATGGGCTGTGCTGGGATTTGAACCCGGAACCACTAGTGTGGCAAATTTGACTCGAGTGCACTAACTATTCAGGCGATCACCATTTAATATTCTATAATTAAACAACAATTTTATAAAAAAATTAACCAAAATTAAACTCTTACTTTATATAAAATTGGACACTTATTTTCAAAATGTACAATCTGTACATATCAAAATTGACTCCCCACCCTAATAATTTGGCAGTCAATTTACTCTGAAATAGAGTGTCATTGATTTGATTATTTGATCATCAAAAGACAATTGAATTGTACTGGATGACCATATAATTAGGCTGAAATTGATAAACGATTAGTGGTGGCCTCAAGGTAAAATACATTGTCAGAACAGTTTTCGTTTTCATTAATGACTGTACGAGCAGGCACACTAGAGTAATCAGTCAGGGGAAAATAGATCCACTGATGTTTAACTTGTGGGATTGCAAGTATTACGATCGTAATTTGTGTGTGAACAGGAGGCTTATTATTTTATTGTTAGCAATAGAATAATAGCTCTCAGTTATTTAACCCAGAAAAAATTATGAGAAGTGAAAACTGAATAGCAGGATTGCATAGATGTCATGAGATTTGGGCAGAAAACAGTAGGAGACACTTGAGTGAGTAACAATCATTTAGTTCAAAATATTTTTTAAAAAATATATTACTTGAAAGTCTGATAGTATTTAATTATAGACTTAACACCAAATTTCAATAGTAAATTTAGTTTAAATTATATGAGTGTTTAGATCAACAAAAAATATTTTGTGTATCAAATTTATTAGGTAAATGTGGCATTAAAAAAAAAAAACTAACAAAAAATATAAAGCATTGGAAATTACGAGAGCTCATGTCTTTCTATTGGGAAATAATATTATTGTAACATGGTTTCACCCTCATCTGTGACAACAGACAGATAGTTCAAGCCCTCCTGTATATAAATACACTCAAAACTACATCAACACACAAAAATTGGAATGGTGCCGTATTCGAGCATAATTCTCATAATGTGCCAAGGACTGAAACCTTTTCAATTAAGTGCTAAATCAATCAATCGCACAGTGAAATCTTTCTCTGCCTGCTGGATACATATGCGGGCTCTGGCCAAAAAGTGAGGGGGGAGAAGTTAGGCCATTTCAGTTGTATTTGCCATGCTATCAGTTCAAATCCTGGCATTGCCCATGACTTTTTAATTGAGAACAATATGAAAAAAGAATTTTAAAGTAGTTTGAACCATCAACACCCAATGGGTTGTAGGACATTGAGTCCTCCTGTATGACGGGAATTACTTTACTGTACTTTTTATAGAAACCTTGTCTTATCAATAAATATGAGTAACTTAATAAAAAATACCCAGTAAATAAAATATAATTATGTTAAAGGAATTAAATTAAATGAAATGATTAATTTCTTTTTAAAAAAACTTATGTGATATTTCTCCATTGGGTTTGTGAGATGGTGAACATGTTTGGTCTTTTCTGGTCATGTCTGTCCTTGTTGGTTTGGTCTGTCAATTTAAAATTTCATCAAGTTTTCTGTCCACCAGACTCAGAACTGATATTGCCAACCAAGCCAGTAAAGATAGGCAGATCAAAATGATTATTATTCTTACATATTTACCACTAAAACAATTAAAATAAATATTTTTTTATATTATACCTGTTGTCAGTTGTTTTTAAAATTAAATAAGAAAATCAAGGTATGTGCCTCTTAAGAACATCATCAGTTTGCCAATTTCACACGTCGTCTTCATTACTGGTATTTGACCATCAATACTTTAGAAAAAAAAATTGAAAGAAATTGGAAAGAATATCTGTTCAGTGTGCATTTCTAATTTGTCCAATGTATAATATATTGTATAATTCTGCAAAAACTATTCCTTTTACTCCAAAACAAGCCAAATGTATTTCTGGATTAAAGAGCGAGTAAAAAATTGGTCTATTAGGTCTGTACATTTAACGTAGGCACTCGACTTGGACTAGAGTCTGATTCAATTGGGTGTTCTACTCCTTCTTTCTCCAGATCCTGGTAGAATTTATTTCTGTCCAACGAATGTGAAATGTCTGTTCAATTGTGAAATATGTGCGTTAGGTCCTCCTTTACTCTGCATGTGTCGCAATTAGGGTGTTGTTTCATGCCAATCTTGTGAAGATACGCTGCGCAGATGCCATGGTTTGTACTTAACTGATTTATGGTGGTTATGTCTTTTTTGCCATGTCTAGCTTGTTAAACCACGGTTTTATTTTCACAAGTGGAAATAATGTTTTATAGGCCATTCCCTTATCCGAGGCAGAATATTCAATTTGCCATTCTATTTGATTTCTTGTTTCTAATATTTGAAAAAGGTCTGTATAAGGGATCTTTATGATTCTAGGGGTGGGTAACTGTGTGGCATTTTTGCAAGTTTGTCGGCTTTTTCGTTGCCTTAGACGCCCATATGTCCTTTAATCCACATGAAAGAGACCTTTTTTTTTTAAGTGGAAAAATTGTTAACAATCTTTTTTATATCAGCTACAATATAATTTTTGATGTTTGTAGAATTGTTTTGCAAGCACTGAGGCTGTCTGTGCAAATTATAATATGATTTGTTGTAGAAAGGTTGAGGGTAAAGAAAGTTGGCACTGCCTTAATTGCTAATAATTCAGCTGAATAAATTGATATCTCTATCAGCAGAGGAATTGAGTCCCCTTTATTGATGCTAGGGCAGAACCAGGAGCATCCAACATTTCCAGACATGAGGGATCCATTGGTGTAAACAGTTAAGTGGTCATTAGGGAAAAGTTCCTGAAGATCATCATGCACTTGTTGATTAACCGCTACGGGATTTTGTCCGGAGTAGTCTTTTAGTATATAGAAATTAAGGGGGTTTCTAATTATTTTTAGTTCTGTAGAGAAAATTGGAAGGGTATCTCTTTGTTTGATTTTTTCTTGAAATTTTGACAGAGAGGTAAAACTCGTGGTAATCGGTGGAGGTTTTTTCTTTTGCCAATATTTTTTTGTTAGATTCATTATGGACAAATCACAGATGCACTGAGCAAGTGATGTTTTTTTCACCATTTGGCGCAACACAAACTGTCCTGCCAGTTTTTCCCTTATATCAATCAATCAACTGAAGAATGTGCCAAAAAATTAATCGGGAAACTGTATTGGTAAATCTTCACTTCAATTTCTATTTTATAAACTCGTGTATATAAAAAAATCAAAATCCTCGCTGCATATTTTTTTCCACAGTACAATCCGCATCCAAAATGTTACTGGGATTTCCATAGCACAATTTATCAATATTATTTGTATGTTTCAAACTTTTACAAGCTAGGTCCACGGTATTTCAATAATGGGACCATTTTGCACTTGGCTAGCCATACTCTGTAAATCTCTCTCCCTTTAATAATTTATCATTTTAATTTTTGTATAATTTCTCTTTAATAATTTTAACAAATATTATTAAAGCTAACTTACAGAAAATACTATGGGTATATGAACTACTCTATAACATATACTCTTTACTAATCATATAATACAGGTAGAGAGACATGAATGAATAAGCACTAAAAACAGTGGTACTGAATTATCTGTTACTCAAATCTAGTCTATTAATTAATGTATGATTATTAAAGAATGTGGTGCAATTATATGTACAATATTAAAATGTAACATGTATGAATATTTATGTCTACAATTGTTTTTATTTTTCAGCTCTTCATTAATAAAAGTGTTTAAAAAAATAATATTCAAAAATGGCTGACATCAGAATTCCTGATTATTACAAAGGAAAGACAATTTTAGTTACTGGCGTGACCGGTTTTATAGGTAAAATCCTTGTTGAAAAACTCCTTAGGTCTTGCCCTGAAGTTGAAAAGATTTATGTTTTAATAAGAAAAAAAAAGTCAATCCCTATTGAAAAAAGATGGAATGAAATTACCGATTTGCCAGTGAGTTGTTAATTATAATGAAATACAATGGATGTATGTTTACTGTTCTAATTGATGTACAGTTGTTCAACAGGTTGAAAATAATTGATAGCAGTCTTTTGAAAAAGGTAGAGCCTATTGAAGGAACCATTGATGTAAAAGATTTGGCATTGAGTGAAACAGTCAAAAATGTAATTATATCAAATCAACTCCATATTATCCTGCAAAACAAAACAACAAAAAATGGTTTCTTTTTTACAGGAAGTAATAAATACAGTTGACATAATATTTCATAGTGCAGCTGCAGTGCAATTCTCAGAAGATCTTATATTTTCTTTGAGGAACAATACTTTAGGAACTTATAACGTGGCAGAGTTTGCAAGATCTCTGATGAAATTAAAGGTAATACTTGAATTATATCTAGTTTTTGTAAAAAAAAAATCTACTATCATAGAAATAGCTTATGAAGTATTTTGTACATGTAATCAACAACTATCTGTTTAATTTTAAAAACCCAGTGCTTCGTTTATGTGTCGACCGCATACAGCAACTGTGATAAACAAAATGTAGCTGAAGAGAAAATTTATAAAAGCGCTTATGACTGGAAAACCCTGATAGAAATTTTAAATGTCGACCCTTATCCACTTTCCATTTTAAGAGACAAGTAATAAAATAAATAATTTCAAATCTTTCCAATTATAATTTTTATTTTTTATTTTGATTAGGATAAAAGGTAGCCATCCTTCAACATACACTTTCACCAAAGCTTTAGCAGAAGATGTAATGGATCATTTTAGCCAATATTATCCAGTAATGTTAACCCGACCATCTGTTGGTAAGTTGGAACAAAATGTTTCATTTTTTAAAAGGAATAAATATTTCTATTTATTATTTTTTCAGTTCTATCAACGGTCGATGATCCGATACCAGGTTGGGTGGATTCTTTGAATGGTGTCTCAGCTATGTTTTTGTCAGTCGCATTGGGAGTCGTACGGGTTATAAATGGTGTGCCAACTTCTTGCCTTGACTATATCAGTGCTGATCATGCTGTCAAAGCATTAATAATCGCCGGATGGAAATTAGGAAAACAGTAATGTATTTCTTTACAATTAACTACAAGAAATGAATTATTTTCTGAGATAGTCTTCAACAATAAATGAGTGGTTCTGTAATAAATTCTGGTACAATTGCTCTCCGCTAAAAATAAAAAAACTGTTGATTCTTATTATATTTATCTTATATTATCTATAATATAATATAATAACAAGACACCTTGTTTGTACATTTACAAATGAACCAATAGATAGAATGTCTGAGACTATCCTAATTTGTTTATTCTTGCAGCATAGTTAGACCCGTTTTATCTTTAGTTGCATGGATCTTGCAACTGCATCAGTTGCACTGTTTTTATGTATTTATATAAAACAAACCCGTATGATTGCATGTCTGATTGACAAAACCAGCAGGAATTGGCCTGGTCCAATTATTTTCATTAAAATTGTGAGGTTTACTCTTGTGATCTGTGAAGAGATAGACCTGTACTTTGATCTTTACCGATAATCTTGGCCTGCCTATACTCACTGGGTTCGTCTATCAGAAATGTTTGAGCATTCACCGTCTTCTGTTATACTGTTAAGTCAAGCCTCTTTTATAAGGCGCCATTTGGACTCATCAAAGAGATTTTACTTTCCAGAATCGCAGACATGCTGAAGATGTTGAAATACCAAGCGAGTCTGACAGACCATCCCAGCCTTGAATAGACGACAGACCACAATGATCAATAACGATCAAATTACATGCTTAAAACTTAAAAAAGTAACGATTTTTCGTTGTCGTTATCAGGCTGTTGTGTAAACAAGGTCCCCCATACACTATACGCATTTTTTTGCAAACTCCAATTGCTTTTGTCTATGTCCAGTTGTTTTAATGGCAACAGTGGCGCAAAGCCACTCGTTGTGCAATTAATTTCAAACAATTTTGAATTTCTGCAACTAGTTGCACAGCACCTCAAACATCACTATACAATTGTTTGCACAATAGCCTCAGTTGTGCAATTTGTTTGTAGGTGTAGGGGGGGGGGGCTTTACACACACAATTAAAAAGCCATGATCAATGATGGTACTCAAATCCGAAATGCTAGTTTAGAAAAAATTTTACACTTGACATAGTGTAATTGAACATTTATACAAATAAAAAAACTATAACTACAATTATTAATCAGCTTTGTCAGCACCCCAAAGTTAGATGCAATTAAATCTGTGCATAGAAAAAGTAATACGAAGATCAACACTAGAAAGAAAATAATGTCAAATTAACAACAAGAAACAATTTAGAACAAATGAAAAACAACAAATTAGGAAATTGCTCAAATTATGATATTGTAATTTGTTATCATCTCTGATCATTTACCTACATAGCTTGAAATGAATATTAAATAACTTTAGTTCTAGTGTTAAAACTAGATACATTAATAGAAATGAGTTATAACGAGTAGGATTTTTTTTTTTAAAGCCCATTTGTAAGTATGTTGGGTTCAATGCAGGGCCACTGGATTCAAACCCGGGACCTTTACCTTATGGTGATGAGCACCTTATCAACACTAAACCGTTGGGGCCACCGACGCCCCATAGGATGAATTGATTTTGTTGTTTTAAAATTTATTAGAAAGAACCATTAAATGCTCTTTATTTTACATGCAGAAGCAGCTTGTCAGACAATACTGACCATTTTAATTTTGTTCTTCAAATCAGCAATAGTAAGTCTGGAAATTTTCATTTCTTTTATAATAGGACACGACGCATTTTCTCTCATATCTTTATTTGTACACTCATCAAGTTACATCATAATAATTAGGCTGCAAGTTCATAAATCATCACAATTTTTGTGCCAAAGATGCTACAATGGCATGCCATGGTAATGCAAGACAATAATAAGGCATGCAATGCAATAAGCATTTTAATTTTGCAATAATCTGATCATTTCCATTTCTTTATTAACAACATTTTCTCTTTAATATGTATTTTTTTATATATAAGTCGGTAAGTCCAAAAGCATTAATACATGTAATAAAATTCTAAAAATTTAGCAAAACATTTACACACCATAAATTTCAGCAGGATTTGAACCAAAGATACCACATATCCTGGTAATCCGAGACAAAAGGCAAATGTCTTAATTTTGCAATAATAAATCCAGCCATTTACATTTTTTGATAATAGAACAAAACCATTTTTTAATCAAATCTAATTTTTATGTACAAACCAATCAATTGTTTTTCCAACATGGGAGCCTGCAACGTATAATATTGTCTATGATAAAAACATGGATTCTCCAATTTCAATTTACTTAATTGCAATGATTGATCTTGTGATTTGTTCATCATCATTGCAAAATCTGTTTTCATTGGAAATTGCAAGTGTTTGAATTGGGATGACATATCTGTCAAATTTTGTGATCCTATCCTCACATGCGAAGGTGCGATTGCCTGAGTGGATAAAGTCAAACAAATAACGAAAAGGAAAAACAAAAATAAAGTCTTGCATGCATTCGTATCACTGGAGAAATGAGAACATGCTGCTTATTTTATGTCATAATTTTGCAATTATAAATCTCGTTTTTTTTTTTTTTTTTGCAATATTACAAAAAGCATTTCTCTACCATATATATCCTATGATTAATCAATTAAAAAGTCAATCAACTCTGTTGAACTGAAGCTTCTTATGATAGATTCCGTTAAATTTACGTAGATCAACTAAAGATGTTCAACAAAGTTGAATCGTTCATGAAGATCTTACAGTTTTGTTCTTCACCAATAGATATGCATCACCCAAAACAAAAATAAAAATTTCAGATGTTATATAAGCATTTGATATTAAAAAAATAACTTTGTTGTAAAAATTATTATATTTAATTATTTATTTTGTGTAGAGAAAAGCGTAATGGAATCGAGGTTATGAGTGTCAATTATGGAAAAGACATCAAAATGCCAACAAGTTGGTTTTTTGAACAGCAGAAACAGCTTACAGAAAATTTCCCTTCAGTAAAATCCGCATGGTACCCATTCGTGATAATGGTGAGCAATCCACTGCTATTCTGGATTCTTTTCTTACTCCTCCAAGTCATACCAGCGTACATGGTCGACTTTTGCCTTATGTTACTTGGAAGGCCGCCTATGTAAGACATCATATATTTCAATCATACTATTTTGTTTATTGTCCTATTTTTTATTTTTAGATTAGTGAATTTAACTATAAGATATGTGCAAGCTGCAAGAGGTCCTCTAAAATCATTTTTTCACAAGCAGTACGCATTTCCGAATAACAATTTCAACATATTGAATGACTTGTTGTACGAACCAGACAAAAAGGAATTTCTGATTAATAGCAATAAATACTCAATAAAAGATTATGTCTACATCAACGGTAATGGGATTTTTAAATATTATTTAAAAGAACCTGAAATGTCTGTAAGAAAAGCCCATTTTGAAAGGTTAGTTACTAAAAAGCACAACATTCATACTTTATTACTTAATTATTAATTTAAACAAATGTAAATTTATTTTTTACAGACTTCGCAAGATCCACTACACAACCATTACTATTTTCTCTTTGATTGGCTTACTAGTATTATACAGAACGATTAATTATCTAATTCAAAATTGTACAATACCACTCTCAGATTTGTTCTGAACTTTTAAAATTTGTATAAAAACACTAAAAAATAAACAATAAATTATGCTTTATTTTAACTAAAATACACTGTTTTAGTGTTGTAACAGTGTAACTGAAATACACTGTTCAATGATTTGTAAATGTGTTGTCAATATTGAGCTTTTACACAGGTTTTTAATATCAAGCAAAACATGAAATTTAAAACAATTTGAGAGTTCTTAATGAATTAAAATTAATATGATATATATCATATACAAAAATCATTCAGTTGTCTTTTTTGCCAAAGGATTCTTATAAAATTATAAAAGAGAGCTAGCAAATAAAAATAAAAAGTAAGTAAAGTAAACTAATTCCTGTAATACAGAAGGGTTTAATGTCAAAAATTTCTCACCTACCATTTTTTTTTTTTTATTTATAACAGCATTTTAAACCATATATACAAAAACCAACTGTTGAATGACACTTAAAGCCTCGTGTGAATTATTTACACAATGAATAAAGTTTCCTCATTGACCTTAAGATCAGGGTATAAGACTATAAATCTCTTCATGAAATATTTGTTCTGCAGTGACTCATAACCACAAATATTCAAGAATATAAAGTAGGGTGTCAGTCATTTTTAAATTACACTACAAGTAATTTTATTAATAATGACCAATGAAATAATTGCTCTAAAGACAAATTAAAAATTTATATGAACAAAAATCAAATTATCAATTAAAAAATAAATAAATAAAATAAACATCTCAGATCATCCTTGACCAATAAGAATTTAGTGGTGTATTTAATTCAAAAAGTCATCATTTCTAAAATTTAGTGGTGTCTTTCATTCAAAAAGTCATCATTTCTAAAATTTAGGGGTGTCTTTCATTCAAAAATTCATCATTTCCAAAATTTAGTGGTCTTTCATTCAAAAATTCATCATTTCTAAAAATTAGGGGTGGGTAGCCGCAATGGTTTAGACATTGGTATGGCGCTCGTCACTGTAAGGTAAATGTCCCAGGTTTGAATCGAGCAACCCTGCATTCAAATCCAATATGCTTATAAATGAGTTTTTTAAATATCAGCACCCCAAGGGTTCATGAAACGTCATTGTCAATTAAAAAAAACCTTAAAAAATAAATAATAAAAAATAAAGTTAATTAAAATCCATTATATTAAGTTAATTACTTCTTTCAATTAATTAATCTTTTTATGTAAGGTTTTGGTTGAAATGAAAAAGACCACTTGAGCTATCGTGACTCAAGTGGATAGAACAGCAGCGTATTGAGCTGAAGGTTGTGGGTTCGAATCTCGTTTGTGACACTAACTGTTTAATTTCAACCAAAACCTTACATAAAGAGATTAATTAATTGAAAGAGTTAATTAAAATGCTTATTTAGAGATCACGAGATGTGGTATGGTGTGACGTAGGTTTAGCAAAACATTTTCTTTATCGTGCCAATGTTTCGATATTTATTGAGATCATTTTCAGGGCTCAAAGTGTTTGTTCTCTGTCTAGATGTGTCATTACTTATGTCATGTCCCTGGCAGTGGCCAAACCATGATTCTATGCAAAATATATTTTTAGACAATTTTGAGTGACTAGGGTGTGTAATATATTCTTAATAGTCCCTCTCCATACAATCCCTTCACATAATGAGGATTATGGAAAGGCAAAATAAACTGATTTTAGAGTAGATATAGGTAAAATGCTTCTAAGAATTCAAAATTTTAAAAAAACCTGTTTTTTCAATTTGAAAATTAAAGTTTAAATGTTAGTCCAGTAATATACCTAAATATTTTACTTTAGTCCCAAAAAGAAGAGGTTTGCACAAACAATTTAAAAAATACGCATGTAAAATAATTTTATGTTTGTTTAAAACGTGTTTTTAATAAAAGACACAATGTTAGTTTTTATCAATTTACAAGCAGGGAATTTTTATCAAGCCAATTTTTGCCTATAAAAAAATTCTTCGCCTCGAAAACCAAGGACTGGTATTACCATCAAATACAACTTCTGGCAGAAAGATGGGTTAAAGTAGTTAATAATGATGGCCTATATTTTGAGTAATAATTTTCATGTTTACATTTTATACTGAACTTAAATAAAACTTAATTTATGCACAAGGACTTTTGTAACAACATAATATTAATATGTCAGAACATGGATGCCATAAAGATACTAGAGTATTGAGTATATGCTATTCTCATCGCTGTGAGGTAAATGCCCTGGGTTCAATCCAGAGGTCCTGAATTCTAAGTAAAATACCTAGATGTCAACTTTTTGCTATGCCTCTTATCTTTAGTCCCATTTATATCAAATAATAAAAATTTACATTGTTAAAATCACTTTATTGTATTTAACACAATACATTTTATCCTGTTTAATCCTTCATCAATCTGAAAAGTATTTCTCTCTACAATCAAAAGAACAATTGAAGGTGACATTCATGGTCCAAGCATTGCTAACTAGAGATCTTTTACTACTTTTCTGATGAGTGAGTCCACATGAAATTACAAAACAATCATCCGAAGATTTGGGACAGATGTTAATCTTGTTAACTCAATGTTTCCAAGCTCTGACAAAGAAGTCATTGATCATTTAAGTATTGTTTACTGCTGTTCCCTCAGTCTGACCGAAAATGAAAATGTGTTTTATTTTAAGTGATGCTGTTTTACAAAGTCTGCGGATTGATACACTTACTTATATCTCTTTAACTTTGTACGCAACAGTGACCAATCCCTGCCACTCTGTTTTCCAAAACCTCTTATTGTTGAATTAAGTCTCTTGGCTCCTCTTAGATTCAATACCATACTTACTTAATATCTGATAGATAGATCAATTAAAAATTAATAGGGTGAAAATTACAAAAAAACTAGAAGACAGTATAAAACAAATTAATAAAAAACGGAAGGAAGAAATTTTTATAAATAAATAAAATGTAATGTAAAAAAGTAATGCTTCAATATAAAAGTATAAAAAGAATAAAATTATTTAGTTTATATGTACAGTACTAATATTTAATTACAAACAGTTGTATAATATTAAAACAATCGATTAATAATTAATTATTAATATATTTTCTATAATTGATGAATTTGTTCAGAATTGAATTATAATTCCTTTAGTGATCTGTGGATAAAACTTGCAAAACACACTTACACTGATGTTTCAAGGTATACAATAGATGAATAGACATCGTTTAGCATCTGAAATCAGTACATATATCACATGAAACAGTGGTTCAGGTGGAATCAACAGACTGACATATTCTTACATAAATATTTATTTTGCCACCTAATGATTTTTAGCCAAAACCATTACACAATAGTAATATTTTGACAGCTCTTTTTGCCCATCAATTACTCTGCAAATTTAAATTGAAACAAAGCACATATTAGACTCAAAAGAAAATTGAACTATGAACTAACCATACAATTCTTCTAAACCGTGTCACCTTAATCTTAAAACATCTAAGGGAGATGTGATTTTAGAAATTGAAATAAGGCCTCTCCGCACTTGAGATATCTGAGATATGTATATCTCTTTTTCTTTTACAACTCACATAAAACACAAACACACACTCTCTCTCTCTCTTTCTTTAGATGAGTTAAAACAACTATTTTCGTTATCCTGCTGGTGGGGGAGGGAGGGTCTGGTTTGTAGAAACTCTAACCTTATAATAATATTAACAAAAATCCACAAAAAAAGTATTAGACAATTAATTAATAGTGAATTTGATATACATGAACAGAAATTGTTAAATTCTCTAAATTATAACCCAGAAGGGACAGTTCAGAAGCCATATTTTTGAATTACAGTTGTAATAATATAATTTATTATTAACAAATAAAGTAGTCAATTCATAAGAATTTTCGTCACAATCATCTGTATAAATACATTAATTATTTACTAACACTAGATTCATGAATACAAAAGGCTGGGACTGGTAAAATTCTATAATTTTTTTGACGCCTAACAACCAAAATGTCCACATCCGTCAATATATTTTAAAAGATTTTAGTATAACATGTTTTAGTCTCACTAACAGTCAAAATGAATATACATACATACACATCTCCAATTTGAAAATTAGCAAATGTATCATTGTATGTGTCATTGTACTGAGATAACATCATTTTTGTACAAATACAATTTAACACTAAGTTCATGTTGAAAAAAACACAAAAAACATGTAATGAGATCTATAAGTTGTTTAGAAAAGCAAAATTTATAATTTCCAGTTAATTATATAACTGAAATACAAAGCTTTTGTAATAATTCATACAATAAAATTATTTGAACGATTAAATTAAGCAATTTTATGTTATTAAATAATGTTCAATTAGATGTTCTTAATTTCTTTTGGTATTGATCCATCCTGTTAAATGTTCACTTGTGATATATATTGGGGGGAAATATGGCTGCAAGTAACATATATTTGATATATTCAATTTGTATTTACAAAACCAAAATTAACAAACTCTACCATTGTAAACAAATGTTAAGTTTCTATTTTGGTAGTTATTCTGTCAGTATAGTAATATTAATTGTTTTAGTTTTTGGTTTAACCATTGATTAAAGGAACTTTTATCCCATTTCATTTTAACTGTGTGCTCTAGAAAATTATAAATATGTTAAACTCTATCATAATTTCATTTACAAAATAAATTTTAAAAAATTCTTAATTTTTGTACAATTAATTTATTATTTATGTGAGTATTTTAAATTTATCTGATCATAGTTTTGTATTGTAAAAATTCTTTAAGAAATGTTATCGTTTAATAAGATTAGACTTTTGAATCTTCAGTCTCCGTAATATTGTATTGATTGGTTTATTATTGTTAATTTAACAACTTTCAAGTTTTAAAAAAACATGTTTTGCTTACTATGAACATTGGTTATTCAAGTAAAGTTGACCACACCATTCAATTTATTTTAAAAGGCATTGAGCATACGCGTTTAAAATCACAAACCAAATGGAAAATATGCATTTAATTAAAAATAAGTAAATATAGATAATAATGGTTTAATCATGATTTAATGAAAAAAATCTAATGAAAACAATAATACCGGTGTATTTTATCAAACCCACTGTTGATCAAAAATAAGCTCTTTTTTGCGTTTAATTATGCTAGTTTTTGTAATTGACAGCTCCTTTCCAACAATTGTTCATTTTAACAGACAGACAAAATGTCTACAGTATCTACCCTGTGGCTGTCCATTTATATATGCATGCAGTACACACACCTGACATCAGCTTCATAGCATTTTGCATATTTTATGCTTTTTGGTTCCAATAAAGCCATAATTTATCCTCTTCTCTAAGTCCCGCCGTTTTTATCTAAGCGTGTACAGTACACAAAAACAACACTTTAATATCTTAATTGGCTTTATACAATTTTTTTAATTACATTTAAATAATTATTTATTAAAAAAATAAGTAATAAGCATAAATATACATACAATGGATATTAAACAGAGTAAATTACATTCTTTAAATATATATAATTAAATGATAATTCTTCCTCTAGCCAATTTCTCAAAGTGACTTTTACTGTACAAGTTACACGCCCGTGCTCATATAAAATGTTTTAAGGCCATTTGACCTTTAATTTTATATACATTTTTTTTTTAATTTCTCTTGTTTTGTTTTGCTTTTAAATATACTACATATACTAAAAATTTGAATTTACATAAAGTAACTTAACAGTCTTTTGGTATGCATTATATAAAATCACAATGATACAATCACTATTAGTCTTTTGTTAACTGCTCAGTTGAATATTAGTTTCACATAGCCAGGATAGCCTTCAAGTGGAGTAGCACAGAATGGGCAAAAAGAATCAAAAGCACTCGTTCCGTGTGGAATAGGGACAGTTGCCCAGTATCTAAAAAATGATCTTGTTATATATACATATCACACATGTACTTTTGATAAAAATAAAACATTCCAAACATACTTCACAGTTTTTTCTGTTGCCATGTGCCCACAAGGATTGAACGCGAAGAAGGCGGGAGGACCAGAGTCCACATAAAATGCCGGCTCAATGCCCATTGTTAATTTAACTATTGGACCAGTCTAGCATAACAAATACACTTTTTTAAACAATTTCTATTTTATATAGGCAAATCTTGGGATTGGGTGTGTGCGTTTCAGTTTTTTCATATTTAGACTTCCACCCATACAAAGGTGAACAACAAAGCTTTAGGGTGGAAACAGCCCTATTGATAGAGACTATTAAAAAAGGGGTGTTGATCCTGATACAAGTGAAAATGAGAAGAAAAAAAAAAATTTTGCACTGGGGTGACAGACTCGAGCAGAGATGAGAGTGCCATCGGCAAGGTTGAGTGAGGCCTAGAAGAGGTCAAAGACCTGCAGAGGGTATTTGGAAGCCAAAGGAGGCCCAGCCAGAGCTCAGGGAAGTTCAAGCTTGGACAGGTCGGCATGGAGGAGTCAAAAAGAAAAGTGAAAAAGGACTTAAAATGGATAAATTATTGTGGGACTTTATTTTCTCATCGTCATAGAGCGGGAAGTTCGCGTGTGCGAGGGAAGAACCGCTCTGGAACGAGAAGGAAAAGACCGGTGATGAGGTTTGAACTTTTATTTTCTTTTATGTAACTTAGTTTTCTCACCATTTTTTGTTTTATTGTTGAAGAGATTTGTTTTATTTCTTTTTTTTTCCATTTTATTCACAATACAGAGGACATTGATATTTACTTTCATGTTGTGTTTTTTCCTTATACTGTTTTTTTATTTCACCCCAAGAGTTCACTGTTTGGGGGGGGGGGGCAATTATTTCATTTTTGGGGACAAAGCGCGCACCACTCTCCACTGAGCCTCAGGTACCTGCCAACCAGATGAATTGTCAACGATCTGAAGAGGAACTGGTAACAATCCCGAGTCAGACTAGAATAAAGTGCAACTTGTACATGGTAGCAGATAAAATTCATTTAAGGAATTGCTTTCCATAAGAGTTTGATCTCAGGTATAGAATGAATAGCTGTTGAAATTAATGTGGAATTCATGGTACTAACATAGTAACTGAATGTGTGGGCCAACAGTGGTACCACCATTTACATAATAGATAGAAACAATTCAAAGACCAGTCTTGTGGAAAAGGCCTAAAGAGTTTAAAAGCTGTTAGAGCCCTTTGGGTTGTTTTCAAATTTTATCTTCCCAAAATGGGTTTAATATAAAAAACATTAGTGTACTATTCTGTTAAAAAGTTAAATCAAATCAAATAAATAATCTCTATAATAACTCATAAGTAAAACAAGATAAAAAAAAAAAAAATTAAATCAAAGAAAGGGGACCACAGTAGCCCGTTAGTTAGCGTGAAAGACGCTTGACTTGTTGTAGACCCCAGTCGTGGTTCAATTCTCACCGTCTCCTCTGGCTACTTTTTCACGATACCCTTCCCCCAATACGAATATGCATAATATATTGTCTGGCATTGGCTAACATACACGGTACATAAGGCCATTAAAAAAAAAAATAATAATAATAATAATAATAAATAAATAACTTCAAAATTCTCTTATAAAAACAAAAGTGAAATTTTTGCATCAAGGTATTCTGGCCCTTTCGAACTGATCGAGATCTTGAGCACCCCTGAAGCATATGGGATTGGGTCAGCCGGATCAACCCCCCTACCCCCCCAATGATATTCTATAGATCATCTTTGGCCAAAGCACGACCAAAACAACTACTTATTAGTGGTATTGGAAGATGAGTACAAATTAACTGTAGCTGAGGTATCAGAGATTTCAGGTACATCGTAGAAAGAAGAATCCGAACCCTGGATGACATAAAATATGGTTTATGCGTTCCTGATGAATGATCCCTCAGGCCACATGTTGCATTTGTGGCACTTCACCTAAATAGGAATAAATCCAAAGGGGTTATTTCCCGTTTAGTCACTGGGGATGAGAAGTTGGCTCTAAAAAAATGTAAAATGCAGTAGGACTGTTTACAAGAAGAATGAAACACCACCATCAGAGCAGGATTGCACTCTTGGCAGGTCCTATTGTCTGTTTGGAGATATATTGAAGGAATAAATTATTGGGAACAGTTACCACGCAACCATACCCCTATTGTGATGATGGATACTAGAAGTGGGGTTTTTGTTCCCCATGCACTGCAGCCTACTGCCTACTCCTAGTTTCTTAGTTCAGTGCAATTGAACTTTTTCCTTCTTCTAAGAAGAATTAGGTCAATGACCGTAATTGCTATTGCTGCAATTCCATTCCCAGGGTTTTCTTTGTATCCCAGGTTACTCGACTGGGTGGTTGTTTCGCATTTGAAGATGATATGGGTGTTTCTTCCTTCTCATTGCATAATCTACAGACGGAATCATCATTAGCCATACCCTTATAACAAAGGGACACTGTACTCAACTAGATTATCTAGAATGTTGGTGAATCAAGGCAACATAGTGCAATGCCAGACCACACACATCTGCACTAACTCGCTCCCTCCATACTCTCCAGACCTTGGGCCTTCTGATTTTTACTTGTTCCACTCCCTAGCCAACTACATAAAAACATAAAAGAAAAGGAATTTTTGAATGAAAACGATCTGAAAATCAGGCTTACAGATTTCTTGTCATCAAGCTTCTAGAAAAAGGGGATATTTCTGCTACTGGAACATTACCAAAACAATATATTAACAAGAACTAAGGAAATTGTTTTGTATTAAAAATGAAAATACATTTATATATATTTTTTTTTTTTTGCTTAAAACCGAAAAAACTTATGCACACACCCAATACACATAAATCATCAATTTTATTAAATAATGCAACAAGACACTTAAAAACATAAAGAAAAAATGTATAGTGGATAATTATTAGAAAATGAATTAAGTAGTAAATCACATTTACCTTGAAGCACATTGAACACGTCCTTGAATTGGTTCCTTTTTCTACACCCCAGTCATGTAATCCTTGGACATGGCCACAGTTCAGGTAGACATAAGGCTGTTTTTCAGAATCGTTACTGGATTTTCGAGGGATGACCAAAGTGTTGAGACCAACAGGACATGTCGGCCTTTCTGCATTTACCTTGTCTACAAGACTTTCAAGATACTCTTTCGTCTATCAAAATTATTCATTTAAAATTAATTGATTTAATATAAAATGTAATCTGAAATAGTAAAGCGACTTACAGGAGACTTGGCAAGTCCTTCAGCTGATCTCCAAAGTAAGGTCGCACCACAGAGGTCGATCAAAGTACCATCTTGCAAAATATTACTGACACCTTCCACCTAATAAAGCCACACATATTAAAGCTTGTAGGATATAACAGGAAGGATAAGAGCATACAGCTTTGCCTTTCTGTTGGGCTGATCTCGATTCCCTCAATGTGTACACCCCGCCACCGACTGAAACTTCCTTCCATATTCCTGATTCGGCATCGCCGCCACAGAACGAACCTTGTGGATGCATGATTAATACACCATTTGTTGTGAGTCCATCTACATCATGGCCTTCTTGCCATTTTGTTGCTTTCTCCTACAATGGCAAAACTTTAACAGTAATCTTTTTTTACATTTCACCATAGTAAATAGGTGTTAGTTTGGAGTAGGATATAAGTGGGCATGGCAGGATAGATCTTGTTCGGACATGTGCTACTAGAACACTTTATAACCGTGCGCTAATTTTCTCTCTAAATTTTTAAATAATTTCTTTCGACTCCACCTATATACCGGAAACTATACAGGAGTTGAGAACCTTATAAATTACATGTTATAGTACAAACTCCACTTTTGTAAATATATTCAAATTTGAGAAATAAAATTAAAAAACAGTAAAACCTCCATTATCTGGGGCTCGATTATCTGGGAATCCAATTATCGGAACTATGTATTCAGGTATATATTTTGCGTACCAACAAGTCACTTCTGATTCAAAGACCGTCTTTTGTCTTGCTCCTATGAAACTCCCACCAGGCTGTTTACATTGAACACAACCGTCATGGCCATCGTTCTGGAACGACATAATAAACCCTTCCCTATTTACAGACTTGTTCCAGATGGATGGACTTCTAGAAAACTCCCTCCTTTCTAGGCTTGTACAGTATTGGATTTTTAATCCCCCCCCCAAAATCGTGTCTGTTTCCTAGACTTTAGTATCAATTTATCAAATTTACAAAAAAACTTAAACTTAATCTGTAAAAAAATTAATGTTACATAATTATAATTAATTAATACTCTTTTACACCATGAAATGGCACCATTTAAAGGAAAAACAGAAAACCATTGCTAAATACTAAAATTTCACTTACTCCAAGGAATATGTTCCGAGATGAATCAAATCCTGCTGCATAGATTCTTGAAACTTTTGGGTTGTTTCTATCAGCTAGTATTCTGCATGCAAATCTTGAAATTGTACTAGCAAGGACCTTGCCTTCAAAACATTTGTCACCTGGAATTGTGTCCATGACTACAAAATCAATTGGAGGCTCTGATGATCTACCAATCTAAAATGAACCACAAGTTTCATTATTTCTGTTTACACTGATTTGGCTGATTCAAGAATCAATGCACACATGCACAAACAAATTGGTAGTTGAATACGACAAAAAAGTATTTATAAATATGAATAACAATTACCTGGAACATATCCGTATCATCATCTGGCATGTATTCAACTATAATTGCTTGATTTCTTGATAGAGTATATGAAATTGAATGTTGGGTGGTGTCCAATATGGCCTAAACCAAAGTAAATTATACATTATAAATAATAATAAATCATATACACACCATGCAAATCTCAAATTTACTGTTAATACTTTTTAGAGCAATATCAAACTTCCCACACACCATACAAAATTTACTTAATAAATGAAAAACCAATAGTTAAGTGTAATTACTTATATAGGTGGGTGAACATAAACTATCATGCACATTCACATTTGGCATTACATTAAAAAGAAGGAAAAATAATCAATGATAATAATTTTGAATGTGTCATGAAAAGTAATACTACTCGGCTATTTTAAAATTTTTATGTACATACTAATACATGTAATAAACAAAAATTAAACAAAGGAAATAACCTAAATATAAGCTTGTAATAAATGACTTACTGGCTTAATTTGACTTAACAGTAAGATATATGACAAAAAGAAATGGGAGCTAATTATGTAAAATTCCTGGTCACAAAATGGAATTCTATGAGACTATAATAATTTAATTTGACACATAATCTACAACACAAATGAAATAATTACATATTGACAGAGTAAGTTTTGATTGAATTGAATTTTAAACAGTAATAAATAATTATAAAAATTCATTATTGAAACCTAGCAGAGTAAAACCTACTTAGGCTGGAGAAATTGATAATAAACTAATTTAATTTTTTAGACATCACATCTCACTTTTTTTAAACACTGCCAAATCCTATTTTAGTCAGGTGTGCATTACCATGAAATAGCACGGTAATAAATAATAAACTACTGACTGACTTCATACCTACACGATACGTTAAAACTTTTGTAACTGAACGTGAAAACCAAGTGGATCAATTTAGTTTGCCATCTTTGTAATAAAGAAACTAAGAATATTGAATGAAAACATTTTTTTTTTTTTTTTTTTTTTAAATATATATATATTGTAGGCACCGACTTTTTCACTTTTTCGGAGAAATGTGTCAGATGTAAACGTACCTTAAGGGAAAATCTAGGTTTTCCGATCATGTAAATAAAATATTTTATTTATTTTTATTTATTTATTTTTTTTTAACGAGGGTTCACAATAGCAAAGTTCATACCAACCCTCAGGGTGCTGGTGTTTTTGAAAAAAAAAGTCCATTTGTAAGTCAGGGCCGCTGGATTCGAACCCGAGACCTTTACCTTACAGTGATGAGCGCCATGTCAACACCTAAACCATTGGCCCACCAATGCCCCCGTCAATGTAATTCTTGGATCAAAAATGAAGGTAAACCATAGGTTTCAAAATTCTACCGTGCCTATCATGCAAGAAACCGTACTAAAACTTGTCACCACCCTAGTGGGTGCTGAAATTTGGAATCCATCATACCTGTGAAGCATGCGGTGTTTTTACAACATAATGCTTCGATCTTTTGATGCCATTTGGTCGATCCCTCTTGTACAACACCAATTTACTCTTTCTCCTTCCTTTGTCCCCCTGTGGAAGGCTTCCATTGTTACTGAAAAATAATTAAATATTTACATTTATTTCAAAAATGTATGTAGTGCAATCGTAACATAACAAACTTTTATAAATTGTGGTTGCCAGCCATGACTAGTCATTAGGTCATTAGGTGGATGAAATTCACTATTCTAACTATTCCCCTACCTAATATATTAACTTTCTTAAACATTTTTTGGCAATGCCCTAATTTTTGAGACTTGTTTAGAATATTTGATGATAAAATAAAAATGTATTTATCATCAAATATTGTTTTGAGCGATATTTTGGAGAAAAATAATAAACTAGCAGGCTTTAATCGCTGGTAATGGTAAGGATTACTCGCTGCCTTATATCCTGTAACTATTATTACATCAACATCTCTGAATTCAATCACATGGACACGAATTGGCAAATGATCAAAGCACAATGGATAACTTATTTTTAAGAATTTCAGTGCAATCTGGGGTGCAATGTGTTTCTTATTTTCCTTCCCCTAATGAGTAAAATATAAGAGCTGAGAACGAATGCCTTTTTTAGGCTTTTCTGAATGTAGCCACTAACATAAATACAACAAATACATTATGTGTTCAGTACCATTCGGCAATGCCTTTTAATTCCAGACACATTAATTTAGTAATTATAAAATACAAAATATTTCGCATTGAGGGTTACAATTCTCCATACACAATAAAATGTCTTTTTTTTTTGTAAAGAGCCATTGCCCCAAATAAGCTATATAAGCAGATAAGGAACGCCTTTAGGTTCTTCTTAATATAGGCACTAACACAAGTTCACCAAATACATTAAGTGTTTAGTACCACTTGGCAATGCCTTTTAATTCCAGAAACTTTAATTTATTAATTATAAAATACAAAATATTTTGCATTGGGCAGTACAATTCTACATATATAATAAAATGTCTCTATAATGGATGGGAATGATATTTAACGTGATATTAATATTTCAATAATAAACGTTTCCTAACTAGCATTGATGTATTAATGAAAGAACAACAATGCGTTTTTTCTGTTAGTTAAGAGTGGATTGACCCAACATAACAAACGGTCTTTTAAGTTCCTCGATCTGTACCAAGCTAAACCAATAATTTCTTACGCTTCTCTTCCTAATCACAAAAATCGGAAAGAGGTTTTTTGATGTGTGGAAACAGATCCAAAGTAAGATGGAGCAACAGTATTTGTGACTGAGTTTGTAGCCATTACACAAAACAGTAACCGCAGTTGTGACTCTCTTCTTGACGAATGCCAAGACAAGCACCTCAAGACGGGGAAAATGTTTATACTGGCGAATACTTCAGCGAATGCCGCATGTCTGGAGTCATCTTAATATACAATCAAGTCTTGAAGCCTATTTAGACATATGGTATGAGGCTGTACCATAGTAGGAATATAAAAATATGTACAAATATTCCAACCAAAATCTTTTTCATAATGAGGTCAATGTACAATGGTTTGTAAGGAATGCATCTTAATACCATAATTCATAGTAGAGTATCAAAATTGGATGCCAAATACCATTCTCACTTTCACCTACATGAGAACTTTGAAATCACGAAAATCCTACACAACTGGCACATTATCGGAAGATTTAAAAAGACAAAAGCGTTTGAACTTGTGTAGAAAATAAGCACTGTTATGGATACATCTAATTGAAAACCGGGGGTTATATAAGAATGTGTATGTATTTATTGTAAATTAAATGTATTAAAAAGTATAATGATAAAAAGTAGTAACAATAATAATAATAAAATAATAACTTGAAAAATACTACTTAAAAAAATTGAAAAACTTTTTTCAGACCTATAACAATACTAATTGTCCCACCTGTTTTGTAATGTTTTTCAGTGTAACAAGTAAAGCTGTTATACCTTTTCAAATATATAGGAACAGAAAGTTTTGTTTTATATTGCCACTTTCGAGAACCTAATTAGATCAAAATTTAAACGGAATTCACCTAATTTTGATTTGACTAAGAAAATAATGTTAACAGACCATCCATGGATATCCTCGATGCCTGATATCTGGCATCTTTTTCCCTACAAAAGAATCCATAGTCTTTTCTTTTTTTCAGCTAGATACATAGCATCGGTCTCACGGCCTTCTAAAAAGGGGATGTCCTGGTTGGTGTGGTACAGATTTGTACCAAACTTTTTTTCGTGAATCTATACTCTATACTATTAGTTGAAATTTTCCGTTTTTTAATATTTTTATTTCGCCTTTCTATTTGTTCAAATCAACTATGTGAATATATCATTTTACAGGTTTTTTTAAGTTGATTGCAACAAAATATAATAAAAGTTATCAAAGTATCCAGTTATAAAAGTTATCAATAACCAAAAAAAATTTCTAAAAACCAAATATTTTTGTCATATTTTTTTTTTAATTAATAAGAAATTTCGTTTTAGCCCCTCCAGAGATTCCTAAATATAAATTTTTGTTTTAATTTAAATTTATGGATTTTTAAACCCTCAAAAATTTTTCGCGAAAGTCGGTATCTAAGGGTTTTTGAACACTAAAATCACGACAATGAGGTCAAATCCAAGTTTTGACCTTTTTCTGTCCTGCTTTGCGCAGAGAATGTTTGTATCATACCAAGTTAAGAGTATTATGCGCCGTATCCTTGTACAAAAATATATAAATGTATTACAAGTAATTAAATAAAAAAGAGCCCATCATGCTAACAATATTCATACTAAGAATCATACAATACGACTAACACTAGCTACACGAAACACAACTGTGACACATCTGCACAGAAAACGCACACGCCCTGAAGATGATCCATCCTTCTCACGATCTCTAAATAATAATCATTACAATATTTACACACAATATGGTGCTACTTACAATAATATTGATAAGAATAGAAGATAAAGAAAAAATTTTATTACGTAAGTACAATGAATATATAGATTGTCACGATAGTTTAGTGAATTGTAAAATTGGTTCAGAAAAACATTAATAGAGGAATTAAATAATTGTAAGTGAGGGATGCCATTTGCGGAATACATTATTCTGTCTAGCGGTGTTTTTGCCACAGTATTGTGGCACGGAATAGAAGGTCCTTATAAGTCGATAAGGAATAGCGGAGAAGTTAATACTGCTTAGAAGTAGAGGACAGTCAATCTATGAATCAATAATTTCAAAAAGTTAATAAGTCGCAATGTAATTTGCGTGTTTTTAATGGGATTGAGTTTAGGGATGGTTAGGGATGGATGTGGATGTAAGTGAGGGATGCCATTTGCGGAATGCGGCACATATTTTTTAAACATTTAATACCGTGTATAATGTCTGTTAAGGCGGCTCCATACATCCGGTGCTCGCCGTGCTAGGCTTTTTGTCGGTTTTCTTGTCCGCTTCAAAGGGCACGAATATTGGTGAAGTAACCGCAGTCAAACCATCCACACATTCGGGAATCAATATAACTGTTCATACCTTTAACCAACTGTCAACTGTTATCAAAATCAACCTTAAGTTCTGTTTAATGATCTTTATTTTTCATTAATAAACGATTTCTAACTACTATGGATGTTTTAATTTACACAATAACAATTTTTTTTTTGTTGGGAATGGATTGAACCAATGCAACAATTTTGGAATTCTTCGATGTTTACGAAACAGAACCAATAATTTCGAAAGCTTCTCTTACAAATCATAATTTGTTTTATAAATAAAGCGATAATTAAAAATATAAAAAACATAATTAAATATATTTTTTCAATTAGTTTGTAGCCACGGCACAAAATAGCAGTGACAGCGCAGCTGCAGCAGTGACAGTTTAACTGTTGTCCATTACGATTTGTAGTAAGCGGAGGAATCCCACGGCATTTGGAAAATACGTATTCCCTGTTTCCGCAACAACTAGGAGATTATACAAAACACGCATATGTGAGGCACGCTATTTCGCGAATGTCAAGACCAGCATCTAGAGACTTGGCAAATATTCGGCGGCATTCGGCGCATGTATGGAGGAGATAGAGGAGCCGCCTTTAGCTAAAACCCCTATGCACCTGTTAGGCATAGTGTTAATAAGGTACTTACTAATTTCATAAGGTATTTCACTACATAGATGTTACCATGGCAGCAGGGAGTAACCCATGCCATCTTTCTCATATTGATTCGATCACTATCATGATTTTCACTATCAAAGAGAACCATAACTAACAATACAAAAATCACGAATGGAGTTGGTGCTGGTGTGCCTCCTGGGCAGGCCATAGAGGAGGAAAGGTTGTCGAGAAAACTGTCGGATTCTAAATGCGACGACAGTTAGGTCGACATGCTCTAACGAAGACGAAGGTTAGAGAGACACTTCTTCAAGACGGAAGACAAGCAGTATTTGTTCTTGTTTTGTAAAAATACAGTCTTTAAAGGAGTTTTGCTTTTCGATGTACAAATAGAAGAAAAACGCGTCCCATCCACTTACACTAGGTCATTCGGAAAGGTAGAAAATATAAAACTTAATATCGGGTGTTGGTCTACGAGTCGAAGTATTCCTCGCTGAAGTTGGTGCAAACGCGTTTGATGAAATTTTCAAAAAAAATGTTTCATGAAATAGATAGGATAAGTGCAAAACGGCGATTTTTAATCAAACTAGTACAGTGAAAACCCCTTTATAACAATACGCAAGAAAGAAGTGTTTTTGTCCGTTATTGAGAGGTGCTCGTTCACTAGGGGTTCAAATGGATTTTTAATCAACATAAATGTTATATTGCACATAATCATATCATCGCCGAATGATGTCAGTAATGATTATTGATTGATGAAATTATTAGTACATTGGTAATGTACCTAAAAGACGTCATTATTTTAAGCTTTGCTAATCAAGCAGTTAATAAATTTGAATGTATTCTGTTCGGGTAACTGTAGATGCAAGAGAAATGAGGACACTCCGTCTGAAGGCTAACAGAAACTTAATCAACGTAATCAAGAACGATAGCCGAACTGAGTTTAATCACAACGTAAACATTTTATTTCCCATATGATCGAAATAATTAATTCTTGTGTGCATGTGTTAAAACCCGACATTCTTTTAATTATAATGCACCTTAAATTATCTTTTTATTCAATTTGTTATTCGTTGGCGGCATAATATATCTCGAGTACTTTCAGGCCCACTACCGGAACCGTTACAATAGCATTGAAACACGCAGTAAGGTGTTGTCTCGAAGGAAATTGTGTTTAGATTGGAATTATAAGAGTTGTAACGAGCCCAGCAAGCTGTTGGTATTAAAAATTCTTAAAGTAGAACCGTTTAGAACACTCATAGGAAATGGACGTCGGGGACCTGGGAGAAGAGCCTCAGTTCGTTGTCGACGAAGTGAGCAACATCATTAAGGACGCGATCGAAGACGCTATCGGAGGCAACGTCTACCAGAAGACCAAAGTAAACCAGTGGACGACAAATGTGGTCGAATCCTGCCTCGGCAATCTTGCCAAACTGCAAAAAGCCTTCAAGTATATAGTTACGTGTACCATTATGCAGAAGAACGGCGCGGGGCTCCATTCGGCCAGCTCCTGCTACTGGGACAACACAACTGACGGAAGCTGCACTGTCAGGTGGGAAAACAAAACCATGTACTGCATTGTGTCTGTTTTTGCATTGGCCATATAGAATAAACAAGTGTAAGTACTCTTGAGTTCCTATAAATAAACTATTTATCATATTGCGACTTTTTTCTTCAGACGTATATTTGTACAGAATATGCGTTTATTTGCCATATAAAATCCCTGTTGAGACGGGTGAGTCGTCTGTGACAAATAAAAATTTGTTGAGTTCATTTTGTTAATTTTCCAAAATACATACATTGTTATACATACAAAATACATTGTTTTCTATACAATGAGTACGTATGGCCACGTCACTCGTAATGAGATAAAATTATAGTATATTAGTAAAATGGATTTTAAGAAATTATGTTTAAAAATGAATTACTATTAGTAAAAATATGTATAACTTTTAACCAAACCCAGCAGAATCTAATATGAAGTATATACTGATCTATACTGATCACTTTACTACTCTTTCTGTCTCGCGTTGGGTTTTATTCACGAGTATTTCGGCTTCTCGCTTTTTTCAGTAATTCTTCTGTGTCTTATGATTGTTTGTAGTAGTAAAAGGGGCGTGAGAACTTCTTTCCATACGAAACTACAAACAGTTCGCCCAGTTGAAGATGGCGTGAAGCCGGAAAACGATTTGTGAAAAGTAAGCCAGTGAAGAATAGACGGAGCCAGGAAAGTTATCACATTATTAGTTTATCATTGATCATTACTGTTATTCATCCACTCGCAGACAATACAACAGCTCCAGCAATATTCACAATCAAGTAAAGGAGGGGGATCGCGGAGGCCTTATAGCCGAACAGTCCTCCAATAAGAGAAGAATTGGAAAGTTCATTATGATTGAAAGAATGCTTAAATCTAAGTTCATTTAGTCATGAATTCACAGCGTTAGAAAGATGTATGACATCTAAGATGTTAAAATGTTAATATTTCCAAATTATTAAAAATATATTGTTACATTACTTAAACGGTAAACTCCCACTGAAATTGAAAAGACAGCAAATCCATTAAAATAAAATGGTAATAACAGTGGTATTATTTTATATTGCTTTTTGTTTATTTTATTGGAACCAAAACTAATATCATTAAAAAATATGTAAATAAATGTATTAACTGAAAATAGCCTATAAATCCTAAATATCTGATAGAAGTTTGAAGTGACAGAACTTGCCTGCTTAAGGTTAACAATACAAAAAAGGTGTTTACAATGGCGAAAAAATTTGTATTAATTTAAATGGATTAGCAAATAAAGGAAAAAATCTGAAAATTGCAATTTTCTCAAAATTTATGGCACTTTTGAGGGGGGGAGTCTCATCATCAAAATTACAAGGCACTTACCGTATAAGTAGAAATGTGATATTTGGTACAAATTAGGTCTTATATTATAAGTAAAGGTAAGTATTTGCAAACTGCAATTTTCTCAAAATAAATGACTTTTTTTGGGAGGGGTCTCACCATCAAAATTATAAGGCACTTCCCGATAAGTAGAACTGTGATTTTTAGTACAAATTAAGTCCTATAGTAAAGGTAAGAATTCCAAAATACAATTTTCTCATAATTGCCCCTTTCGGGGAGGGACCCAATTATCAAAATTATAAAGCACTTCACGTATAGGTAGAAACGTGAAATTTGGTACAAAGTTATGTCTTATACCCCAAACCTAAGACGGCGTTCACGATGCTAAAGTGAAACAATACATCCAACAAAAACCTAACCGGCAAAAAGGGCCAAGTTCCAGACCCCTCTCCAAAAAAATTAGCCTATCAATGATATTTACACTGTGGCCAAATCCGTTCTTTTTTGTCCACAACCTGACAGCTCAAAAGAAAAGATACAAATTGCAGACTCCCTACCAAAAAAGTCAGCCTGTAAAAGCAATAACTACGTTGTGGTAAACCTCACTTCACTCCTACAACAAGTTGCATGAGCGACACTTTTCCATTATTTCTTTATTATTATTCCCGCTCGTGACACTAACTTTTTCATCTCAACCAAGACCTTACATAAAAAGAATAATTAATTGAAAGAAGTAATTTGGTCTATCAGACCACTAAAACATAAATGGATACTATTATTGTTTAACACTTGGTCATTTTCTGAATGAGGATATCAGGAACATGTGTGCTTACACAAGAGAGGTGGATGAAGGGAAGGCACAGAACTCAGAAGAAAAGAAAAACGTTCCTGACTCCTCATTGCTCATTCAGATATTTGTTAGGATAATACAATATTATCATTATCCAAAAGTGGAATCCATTAAAATAATTGCAGCCGGACTGTTAGGTCAAAACTCGTCCACTGTAATTTGGTCGTTACCGATCATTTTGATCCGCCCATCCTTCGCTGGGTTGGTCTATCAAACTTGTTTCAGAATTTCGCCATGTAGCGAATATGTGATTTCTGTGGAGTGCATACAAAAATGTCGGGTAACAAACAAATTACTGATTTAAAAGCCCTACCACACGAAGAATTCTTATAATAATACGGTAGTTTAACAATTCGCAGTGTAGAAGAAAAATCCTCTGGAGGAGCGTACTATTTCAGTCCATTATGCGAATGATTAACTACTTCCAATCTGATCGGAATGTAACATTAATTCATAGAGGAAGTCATTATCAGAGAGGAATAAGTGAGAACCGACTTTTCTCTGTAGGGGTATATACCATTGCTAGTACAACAGACATTTTATTTAGATGGTTGATGGAGAAAATAAAGCCCAATATTCCGTGGCAAAACTTATTTTATTTTGTACGTTCGGGCAAATTGGCCATCCTCGATAGATTCAATTCCTTCATCTGAGTCTCCTTACGACGGACAATTTGTTATAAACTATAACTCTGGGCATGGCTGAACAGAATTTACTCGATATTTCATATCAGCAGGTGTTGCACTGCTTTTCCTATGATGCGTCGAGAAATTCTTCACTTTGTGTATGATATATACAAATGAAAGATGTGATTTAAATTTACGCGCACGTTGTGTTGCGTATGTCAAAAACATTGTACCAGTCTTTTCTTTTTGGAGGCAATATTGTTTCAATTTATTTGTGTACTTACCCGAGAATGACTAGTTCGCCGTACTTGACTCTTCCTTTTTCCTCGTGTGATGTTGTACGCGGCCTTTCTTCTAAAGGGACTTCACCGTCCGATCTGGAAATAGAATCGTCCATTAAAGTGTGTAATAACAATTAAACATCGGTAATTATTCCAAAAAGTGTGGCAACATATGTCCAGCTGGGTGTTCAATGATGTCCTGTACTCCTTGACCCTGGCCAAAGTTCCAATAAATGAACCCATAAATGGGAGTGTGGCCAGAAACTCGTACATCGCCAACTACACCATTTTATAAAAGGTTTTTCGAAGGGTTCGCAACAGCAGAGGTCAACCCTTGCATAAAATTCGCGAAACATGATGGTTCAAAATGTAAGCATTCTTGAAAATCGGGAGGTAGGGTAATTGGATTTTTCCATGAGCACGTAAAAAACCTCGTTTTTGCCCAAAAATTGCGAATAACTAGAAAGCTGTTGAGAAATTGGGCAAGTGGAAGGTGACCAATTGAAAGCTTATTAAAAATTTCCTATCGATTGCTATAGGGCGCCGCTCCAGGTCGATTTCCTGGCTCCTCAACTCAATTTGAAGTTTTCGTAAAAAGGGCAAAAATTAACATGTTCTCGAATTTGCTGATGAATTTCTGAAGCTAGGAAAACATTTTAAAAAGCCATTTTGTACAGCGTAAAATTTCTAGAAATTAAGACCTAGGGCAGGTCAGTGACTTGAACGGACTGACTTGAAAATATGCATTTCCAAAGTTGGCCATTTTTTTCGAGCAAATACCAGGTGGTCGGTTTTTTTTATGGGCAGTGTATACGTATAAGTTGTAGCTAATAATTTTTTTATAAATGCATGTAAAGACGGAAATCGTGGCTAATGTAAACAGTGAAGAATTTATGTCACATATATTATATAATATTTCAACCACTAGCTATTCGTGTCGGCACTTCTGCACCAATATTTGTAAACACCGGTGATTTACAAGTTCAACCTTGTTCGGCAATTGTCGCAAAAGTTGGACATTCGACTACTTTTCTGTCATTGTAAAAAGTAACGATTAAACATGAATGATAAATAAGAGTGGTTTAGCAATTAATTAGTAAATAGTAGTAATTAGTAAATTTAAATCTAAAAAAAAAATTAAAATTACAATTTTTATTTAATAGTAATAACTACTTAACAGATGCTAAAAATCGCTAAGTTCCAGCAAGTCGTGCTGTTACACTAATAGCTTTTCTGAATTTGCTATTTTGCTTTGAAATAAGAGGACCAATTTTACGAGCATACTTTTCAAAATCAGCAGATTTCATTCTTCAATAATTTGGAAACTGAACTTGATCCTCCATACTGTGCTACAATCATTAATTGATTGTAGGCACCGACTTTTTCACGTTCCAAAACCCACTCTCGAACCCATATAGAACGTTTTTTATTCCTTTTTATCTTTAGAATAATTTTAAACAGACCACAATTTTGCATTTCGAGGCTTTCATCATGTCGAGCTAAAATCAACTGTGTGCGGAATGAAAGAGATATACAAGTACACAGGACACAAGTGTACTCAAAAATCCATCTTGTTATATTTATTCCAAGTTTCGCATTTTGAGAACTGTCATAGATTGTCATTTATCGATGATATAATTTTTTTAGTGATTTCTATCAGTATGTAAAAGCGATTTTCTGTCTGACACTCGATATATATTTCCGGAGAAATGTGTCAGATGTACCTTAAGGGAAAAATCTAGTTTTTCCGACATGAAATATTTTCAACATAACTTTTCCAAAAGTTGACAGATTTATTAATTCATTCTTTGATTCGAATAGAATTTTTTCCAAGTTATCCAACACAATCATTAGGTAAATTTAAATTATTCGTTTTATTAATTCTAAAAAACCGAAAGACTCGAAAAGAAAGGCATTCAAACGACGGAGCACGATTAGAAACATCCCGTGATTTGACCATCCAATTAACAGGATTTTTTTATTTGAACATTGGAGGATTGAATGTGGTGGACTTGTTGCTGAAACCAAATTTAAAGAAAAAGAAAATATAATCTTGTAGATGCGATGAAATACCCTTGTCAAAAAGAAATAAACAAACAAATAAAAATTAGTTTTAATAAATAAATTTTAAAAAATAAATAAACATTCTATTGTTTACCATGGATTTGTCCCTTAACCCATTTTTCTTTTCGATGTGAGGGAACTAACGGTAAAGGATACTCATAGTAGTTGGTTTGGAAACGGTGTCAAGGCAAGTGAATCGAACTTCTGTTATCTTCTATACAATCACACGAAAAGGATCAAGATTTAATTAATTTTTTTTTCGAATCTACAATATCCACGAAATAGAGAAATGTATTTCAACTTGGGAAAAGGGAGAATTATGAGCCGATAAAATAATGCCTTTGATTGCATATAAATACCCAAATATTAAAAATTGTTAAATGTATTGCAAACCTAATTGTGTTAAAAACTGTAGGAAATTTTAGGAACCCCTTAAGAAACAATTTAACAAGAAATTCTTAAATGTTGATTGAAGTAGAAAATCTCATGAGAAACGATTTCAATATTTAAAATTTACAAATTAAAACAAATTCGATCTAACTTTTACTAGAACAAACCTGATTACCAAAAAAATTTGGTTATACGTTTTGACAAAATTACGTTCAAAACCACAGTACCCTCAGAAGACAGCAACCAATGCAAAATACTAACACCCTACAAGACTACCATTATGAGTATGTCTTCAGTATACCGCGAATCAAAAATATAATCATTTGGATTTAAACCAAAAACCCCAAATCCAACTTTTTTTAAGAAAAGCTTTTCAAGCAGAATAATTTGTTTTAAAAGATTTGATAATCAGAAAAATAAGATTTAATTGTATTCATTTTTATAGTAATCGTAACTGTATTATGTTCAGAAATTTTGATAAATCTGAGTTCAATAATATTGTTTGGTTATTAAAAACGCCGTGAAGACTATTTTTTGCAAAGCTAATTACTTATGTAACTAATTAATAATTAATTATGTGAGGATTATTGTGAACTATATTGAATGATTATAATGAGGACATGTAAAGTCGAAGTAACACAATTCGTGTCTTGATTGGACGCTAGAGAATTTCCTCCAAAGGAAAGCTCAAGAAATGACTTTGTTGAATAAAACACTTCATGAACCCAAGTTTTCTGTTCACCGTGGAAAGCAAGCAGATTACTCCTGCCGCCATTTCTTCCTCAGAGCTTTCCACTTCGTGAATACTACTATGATATACACTGTGTGATTGTCGCGTGGCGTAATGTGATATGCACACCCCACTATGGGACAAGGCGTCGGGTGGCTTTGGGTCGCGTCGCGTTGGATGTGGTCCCCACTTAAGAAGTGACCACCTAACACTATTCGACGAGAATCTTAACAGTGGGGACCTTTGTTACATCGCGTAGCGTACCGTAGAGTGGCAATGAGTCACGTTAGGCATATGGGCAAGAGATTCTGATGAAAAATTTGACATCGGATTAGCGTCGGGTCTTGCCTCGTTTTTAGCGTCGGGTCTTGCCTCGTTTTTAGCGTCGGGTCTTGCCTCGTTTTTTGCGTCGGGTGTTTTCCCCGCTTTAAGTCTTGAAGGTGAATTGATAGAGATAAAACAATTTGATTGAAACAGAAAGTAACAGTAGCCTGATAAGGCTCAAATAGTAGTTGACGAGGGTGGGCAATTTGTTACTAAACGAAGGCGAAACCGTCTAGGAGGTAAGGGAAATGCTCCAATTGCCTTTTCTTTGCTTCTCTTCGAGCGGATGTTAAACAGTAGCGGAGGATAAAGGGAAAATGCGTATCGAAAGCTGAATCAAGAACTCAGCAAGATATTTTGGCAATTTGTTAACGAGAAAAGACAAATTAAGGGCAACCCAATTTCAGAGAAGGCAATACAGTTATCATTAAAGACGATCTGCAGGTTGCTGATAAATTTGCGGGTACCTTTGAACAGGTGTATGTGCATCCCTCTCTCTGCTGCTTCTAGGTGTTCCTTTACTTCTCCAAATATGACAGTACGCTCCCCTGGTCTTTAATTTTCAATAATTTTTTCGTTGATGTAGACATAGTTTATAAAAAGTTGACTTCTCTTAAGCCTTTCTGATCTAGTGGTACAGATAAATACCTACTATTCTATTCATTAAAAAATTGTGCACGCTCTTTTCCTTTCCTCCTGACATTTTATTTTCCAAATCTGTTGATTCAGGCATTGTACCGGAAGGCACTTTTGTCGTTCCGGTGTTTAAGAAAGTTAATCGTTCCGTGGTACAAAACTAACGTCCAGTTTACAAATTGGTTATATTCCCAAGATTCTTGAGTCAATATTACACCTCAAATGACTAATTTCTGTAGACCATTGTGGATAATCGATAAGCAGCATGTTGTTTTTTTTTACTTGGTCGCTCTACGGCCTTAAATTTGATGGTATATAAGGAATTTATAATTAATGCATTGGAAAAATGCAACCAAGATATGCCAATGCCGCTAAAGCCTTTGATACCGTGGATCATAGTATTTTTTTATACAATTTTGATGGTCTGGGATTTGGTCATATGGTGACTCGTGGGATTAAGGCCTACTTATCTGATAAATGTATGAAAGTTAATTTTTGAATTTCAAAATCATTTATTGCTTCATCGGGTGTTCCCTATAACCGTTAAGTTTCTTGATCTTTAACAACGAAGTAATTTCTTCCTTCGAGCCTTCAAATTTTCTCTTCTCTTTTTTGAATTTACTTATTTGAAGCAAAATCGCGAAATCTTAAAAAATCAGAAAATGTGAATACTCCGAAACTGTTGAGATTTGGACCCTAGTTAATTAGGACTTTTTGGTTCCTTTTTAAATGTAGAATCTACTAGCAAAGTTTGTAACACGAGTAGCCGAACATCCTGTATAAAGAGCCAAGTAAATTATTGCAATGGAGATTTAAAATGGAAGAATTCAATTACGAAAACAAATATAAATCAGAAAAAAGAATAAAGTAGCGCGTTTTTTTTTTTTTTTTTTTTTTTTTCAAGGATATAATAAAACTCAATGAAACAGGAGATGAAGTAACGGATGAATTG